AATGTGAACGAGTCATCTTTGACTTATTAATCAGTTGTTTTTTTTTATCGTTGCCATTCGTCTGCGCATGAGAAGGGGTTGGAGGTGGTGGGGGCTGAGATATTGGGGGTGCGTAGGCCGTCGGCCGTTGCTCTGGAGAATAAAAACGATAAATATGAACGACACATCTCTGACTTATTAATCGCTATTTTGTAATCACTTACCAGCTTCGAGGATCGTCTGTGGCGTGATGGTCCTGTAACGAACAGCTTTCGCGTTCGCATTCGCGTGTGATCTGACGGTCTGGCTGGGCTGATACGGATGTAAGACGGTTCGGCTGGTGGATGGAGGCGTGGTTGGGTAAAAGTTATCACTTCCGGGGTAAGGTTGAACCCCCTCCTTTTCTGTAAAATGAGATATTTCTCAGCTGAAGAAAAGAACGTTACGTATATATTTATAAAATCCACTCACTCAGATTGTCGACCGCACAATTAATTTTAGACAAATCATCCAGGGGAAAAGGTACTGGTGTTTTACAAGTTAATTCCTCAATAGGAATTTCTTCCCACTCACCGTCCGATATGACAATAGCGTCTGAAAATAAAGATGTTAAACCAGAAAGAGAAAAAAAGATTTGCGTCTTAAGTTAAAAACTTACCCGTCATCTTAGCTTGTTACACCTCAAATCACGACTCCGAAAATGCGGTTTTACATTTTATACAGCTGTTTAAAAAAATCTTGAATAGAAAACGGTTGCGATTGGTCGAAAAAAAATATTTTTATAAACAATACATAGTCATTTGCTTTGTTGTATAGGTAGACAAATGTCTGAATGGGTGTTTAGAGTTGTGTGTGTGTGTGTGTGTGTGTGTGTGTGTGTGTGCGTGTGCGTGTGTGTGCGTGCGTGCGTGCGTGCGTGCGTGTGTGTGTGTTTAACTCGTATCCATTGCTTCTTCAAAACTCCCAGGAGCAGAAATAAAAAAACCTTTACGATCCAAAAAATAATACCGGACCGGTTTTGTACCGGACATTTCTTCCTGAAATCGCTTATGAAAAATCTGTTGCGTTGTCAAGCCAATCTCATCATGTCTCAATTCGAACGTTGTTTTTAGCAGAGGAAGGCTATATTCAAAACACGTATCCATCGGTTCTTCTTCTTCTTCTTCGCTCATGTTTCCTTAATAATGGATAAAATGTAGCAGCTCCTTCGCTCGTGTGTAAATCCGTTTACGACATGCATGTGCCTTAGTTTAACTATTCTGAGAGGTATGACATTAAAGGTTTGACCAGAGGTACGTCTGCTCTGAGACTTTACTAATCCACCCCTCCCAAAAACAAACCTCATAAACAGCTTTTTATTTATTTCAGCTGTTATAGGTCCTACAAAAAAGGATCAAATCTTTTCTCTGAGGCAGGAAGCAATGTGTGTGTGTGTGTGTGTGTGTGTGTGTGTGTGTGTGTGTGTGTGTGTGTGTGTGTGTGTGTGTGTGTGTGTGTGTGTGTGTGTGTGTGTGTGTGTGTGTGTGTGTGTGACAGTGAAAACAAAAAGTCACAAAATGTGACACTAAAGGCAGGTGGCGATGATTAAGCTTTCACTGCTGATGATGACGAACCAAAGATGCTGTTCACCTAAATAGCTCTTTGAAACAATAGCAAGTCATTTGCTTTTGTGAATTGTTTCCATGCCGACTTGGTTAAAATGAGCTCTAAGATAGATGAACCAGATCTTTGTTCACCAACTTTCCCGCCACTCTTTCAATTCACCCCACCTGCAAAAAAGTAAGTAATTTGCTTTTGCGTGTTGTTTCCGTGACGACTTGGTTCAGCCAGTTCTTTGTTTTAAAACTTTCCCGCCACCTGCAAAAAAAAGGAAGTCAATTGCTTTGTCAGAAGTCGCTGGTCGTGCAAAATTGTTTAGAATGAGCTTTAAGAAAGCTCAACAGATCTTTGTTGACCAACTTCCAGGCACTCTTTCAAACAAACCCACCTGCAGAACAATACAGAGTCATTTGCTTTGTGAGTTGTCGATTAAAAGCGTCACGCTGAGGTAAGGATCAACTTTTATTCTTATAGGCTTGAGTATGCAGGGTGCTTTACAATAGAACCATAAATGGTTTAGGATGGTAAACCATTGCTTTTGTGAAGTGAGAGAAATGTATGAATGGTTTAGTCAAAGACAAATGTTTGAATGTAATCCTTTTACTTCTTAGAGAAGTGTGTGTGTGTGTGTGTGTGTGTGTGTGTGTGTGTGTGTGTGTGTGTGTGTGTGTGTGTGTGTGTGTGTGTGTGTGTGTGTGTGTGTGTGTGTGTGTGTGTGCTTACAGCCATTAATTTGATGTGCTGCTGGACAGAGAGTTTTACACAATAGTTTTAGTTCTGGTTAAAAGTGTCAGTGAGCTGCATGTAAATATTTACACATTTAAACACAAAGTTTAAGACTGAACATACAAAATCCAAATATCTAATATTTGGGAGAAAAGCACTTTGTGAACATCTGCCAGATGGCTGAGTCTCGAGACCTGCAACCATTTCATAAGTACTTGACCAGCGTGTGGGGCTGTCATTCACAACAGTTAGGCCGCACTCATCCACTGTCAGTGAGCCATGTCATGTTTGATATAAAAAGTCCATGAGTTTAGACTGATATGGTGTGCCAGTAAGGGCTGGTAAATGCATTATAATGACTGCAGCGTCAGACTGATGTGGTTCTGCTCACTGGTGAGGCTGGCCTTCTTTTTCTTGCTTTTCAGCATTTGCAGTACAATTTAGATGACAAAACTTTCTGTGTGTTGAATTTAGGTGATGAACATATCTGAGAGGTAAGACATTCCTCTTCCTCGTGGCTTGGTGCTTCACGCATCTCCTCGTGGTTCATCATTTTTTCTTAGAGCTCGGGTTTTCACCATTCGGACAGATCTGAGCTTTTAAAGAGTTATCCACTATAGGAATACACTCAGAAGGGAGGGGGCTGTGGGAACCGCTGAGTAACACAATAAGAAACTTCACGCGCCATTACACACATTAGCCTATGACGTGGGGGATCATGGACATCTGGACGCTCAACAATACGCCATTGATGATGCGGCGTGGGGGGTCTAGGCCATCTGGACGATCAACAATACACATGTCCATTTGATTAATGATACGGAAGGGGGGGCAAAGATTGAACAATACACCTGTCCATTTGATTAATGATAGGAAAGAGGGGCAAGGTCAAGGGTCAAAATGAACAATAGGACTGAAAGGTCAAAAAGGTCAAAGAACAATAGACCTGTCAAAATGTTTGACGAAAGGTATCTTATTATGTCTCTGAGGACAAAATAAGGCAGCTTGAAGAACAACACAAAAGAAGCCCATCCTCAAGCTTACTAAAAAACCTAAAAGTTTTACAGCGACCACAACACCCCTATTATCAGACGCCGACCATTATGCAGTACAATCTGGGACTATGGCACCCTCTTGGAGAGAGGCCACTACAGTTATGTTACATAAAGAGGGTAAAGATCCCACTAAATGCCAATCATACAGACCAATCTCATTATTGAATGCAGATTTACGAATCTTAACAGCTATTCTGGCAAGACGGGCTAACAACAGAAATGATCCGTCCAGATCAGACCGGGTTCATTAAAGGGCGCTACTATGGAGACAACATCAGGAGGCTGTTAAACCTAATGACACATCAAAAAGTTAAGGAAGAGGAGTCAATGATATTATCCCTAGATGCCATGAAGGCATTCCATCGCGTATCTCATTCAAACTCTGAAAAGATTTCAATTTGGCCCGAACTTCATAAGATGGATACAAAACTTATATTCAGATCCACAGTCCACAGTTAAGGTAAATGGGTTTCTCTCAGAACGTTTCACTTTAGAACGGGGGTGTAGACCAGGATGCCCACTGTCTCCTTTATTTTTTCAGTATAGAACCATTAGCGCAACTGATCAGAGACAATAAAAACATAAAAGGAATTACAATAAATAGAGAACAGCATAAAATTTCATTGTATGCTGACGACGTATTGCTGTATGTTACAGAACTCACGACAACATAACATGTGGATTGAACAAATAAAGGAAATATATCAAATGGAACAAATAACATATTCCCTGAGACTTCAAAAACATTCAATAAAAGGTGGAGACCTGCTAACGACATACTGGTATAAGAATATTATGTTCCTTTTTTGTTAGCTTGTTTGTTAATTATTATTGTTTCTCCTGTCTCTAATTATGTTACTTCTATTTTATTTTTGTCCCTCGGGTATACCACAATGCTACTCAGTGCATGATATAGCATGTGTAATGAACACAGTTCTGTATGTGATTTATGTGAAGCATAAATAAAAATTAAGTAAAGAAAAACGTATTTCTTTAGATGCAGAATTTTATTTTTGATGTGTGTGTGTGCACACATGCATGTGTGTGTGTGCGTGTGTGTGTGTGTGTGTGCGTGCGTGCGTGCGTGCGTGCGTGCGTGCGTGCGTGCGTGTGTGTGTGTGTGTGTGTGTGTGTGTGCATGCATGTGTGTGTGTGTACTTTCATCAGCTGTTAACTACTCCCCTCTGGCAGGAACATTTATTCCCTAAACAGAAATTCTTTTGGAAAGAATTTCAGCTGCAGAACAAAATACATTTAGAAAAATAAGCCAAATGAATGTTGTTGCACTTTTGCTGGTTTGAAAGGAAGTCATTCTCATCCAAGACACCTCATTTATACTGCGATTCAGTCTCTACACACTAGTCACCATCAGTGTGAACATCTCAGCACTACCTGCCCTTTGGCTAGTTTAGCAGGTCCTAAACAAAAGATGAGCTCCTGATATTTCTGACCAATCAGAATTAGCTTGGCTTTTCAAGAGGGCGGAGCTAAAACAGAGCCTTTCCTACTAAGTAGGGTAAGGGAAAAACACAGATCCTTTGTCATTAACTGCTGCTTTGGCTCCTAACGGGATGGATTTTAAAAAGTCCGCTTATTTTCTGAAATCTTCCTTTTTGGCCGTTGTCCTCTTGTGTATTTCAGAAACTAAAGTCAGAGAGCCAAACTTCACACTCAGAAGAACCTTCAGAGTGGAGAACACCGGCCTGCTCCCGATCACCGTCAGATCAGCAGAAATAAATGGACAGGCTTGTGAAGGATACGGGTTTAAAGTTCTCAACTGTCAAGAATTTGCACTCCTGCCAAATGCTTCAAAAGACCTCATCATCCTGTAAGTCATCACACCCGTTCAGTTCAGAAAAACACAAACGTTTTCATTTCCAATGGGACGTTGGTTTTCCTGACCCAGACATGACGCGGTGTGTTGTTTGATGGCTGTGCATCAGTGGTTTGGTCTGGTTTGATGTCTAGCTATTGACACATCTGAATGGAATGCTGTGATTGTTGATGTTTGTCTTGTCGAGCATGTAGCTTTGAACAAAGCTTTATTACTCAGGTTCTGTTTTGTTCAAGACAAAGAGCCTTGAATTGTCCCACACCCTGGTGACTTGTAAAACAAACACATAGTGATGCTTCCACATAACTCCATCATGCAGTCGGCTCCAGATCCCTCCCTGCAGAAACTGCAGCACAGGTGCAGGTTAGTGATTTTTAAGTTAGTTTTGTCTTTTTTTTTTTCTTTTTTTTTTCCAGGTTTACGCCCGACTTCACTTCATCTCGAGTGACCCGAGAGCTGAAGCTGGTGACACACAGCGGCTCGGAGTTTGTGTTTGTCCTGAACGCCTCGCTGCCCTACCACATGTTAGCTACGTGTGCAGAAACTCTGCCCAGACCCAGCTGGGAGCTGGAGCTCTACATCATTGTGTGTGTTGTTATGAGGTGAGCATGACTCTCAGCAGCATAGAGCCCGTTAAGCTTGATTTAAACTTGACAAAAATGTTTATATACTTTTGGTTTTTATCTTTTGTAGCTCGATGTTTCTGTTGGTGATTGCCACGGCCTATCTGGAGGCTCAGAGCATATGGGAGCCTTTCAAGAGACGGGTGTCTGTGGAATCCAACTCCAACTTGGAGACTGGGAGACCCTTTAACCTCAGGGACTTTGTGCAAAACCACAATGACTTAAAGTAAGTGTACATGAAAAACCACAAACGGGTTCATTAGAGTTTAAAAACAGCTGTTTTGGCTCTAGCATCTCATCCTGAGGTTTACCAGTCTGGCCTGTATTGATTCAGGCAATCCACGTTTATATAAATAGTTTTAGTGAATATTTGTAGTCGCAGGGATTAAAAATAACACCGACTGAAGTCTGACAAGTCCACGCCCTCTCAGGTGTGGATGGGAAAGTAATGCACCACAGAAATCCTCGGGTTGGTCCCTTTTCATGAGCCTTTGTATTTACTTCTCATCCCTTTGACTCTACAAATTATGCAATTTACTTTTAAATGGTTGTAATTTTGAAGCTTTATCTTGTGTTTTGTCTCCCAAAGTGTAGTTAGATTAGTTCTGAAAGGGCAGTCCCACAAATTATTGTTGGTGTTTTAAAGCCTCCTACAGGTGACCATCTATGGACACGGCGTTGTGATTGTGTGTGGCTCACCACTGCCCACATTTCACCTTGTCTAATGCTGCTGCCGCCCTTTATTACCAGCCATTAAGGTCATTTGTATGTTTAATCTGTGGCAGACAGAGAAAGCTTTGATAGACCGGTTCAGATGTTTTATCCTGCAGCATGAACAAACCCTTGCCTCATTTACGACCTCGCTGCTGCTACAGCTGACTGACCGGGACTGTTTCATGCTAGTTCAAGTAACTTTACTCCATAAAAACAAAAAATACTAGTTGTTTTTTTACTCATGTTTTTATGTTGATGATTGTGAGGATATTTGTAGATTATTGTCGATATTGTAGACATTTGTAGATTGATTTTCACCCAGAGCCTTCAGTGTAAAGTAGGTGATGACTGTTGGGTCTCCACATGTACTTTTGTGAAAAATTCACCTTGGAAGTGTTTGAAATTTTATTTTTGCATCACTTCCAACCCGGCATCTCCCCAGACAGATTTGGTACAAAATAGGGATGAATGAGTACACCACTATCTGTATCTGTACTCGGAATGGGCGTGGCATAACCCGGAAGTGGGTGTGGTTTACATCAATATATTGTTTTAAGTCTGTAATTGATATGGGCTGATCAGAAGTTGATAAGTGTATTGTTTATTTGAAAACTATTTACAGAGCAGCCTCAGAACTGAGATTAAATATTTTTGATCACAATAGTAAAGGAACTATTACAGAACAAGTGTTTCAATAAAATCAGAACATTAATATTTAAGTGCATGGATTAATACATCTGAACTCATGCAGTAGGAACTAGGAAATATGAAATATTAGAACCAGACACAACTTTATATATATATTTTTATTTTTATTTGATTAAACAGATTTTTTTCTTAACATTCTTGGCATTTTGCCACACAAAGGTAAACAAAACAATGTTGATTAAGGTGTGTGTGTCTGAGAGAGATAGAGAGGGTGAGAGGGAGTTAAAAATTAAAAACCCGACCGGAGCGGAGGTAGTGAGTGACTGATGCAGCACGTCAGCTCTGTCTTGTCAAATGCACCATGTAAGTTACGAAAAAAGTAACTTTAAATATTCAACTGAAAAAGAGGCGAGCTGAAGAAAACCTAGGGAAAACTGAAGAAAGGTGAGCAACAGTGAAGCAATCACAGCGAGATCCGTTACTGTCTGTGTGTGTGTGTGTGGATGAGCCGGACCGACTGAGCTCCCGGCCGGCTAGAGAGTTTTGTGTAGGGAGGGGCGGGCGCTCTATGTGACTGGCCAATCACAGAGCGTGAAGAAAGTCATTTACCCAATGAGGATTTTCCTTCAGCACGATTACAGATATTTACTCGTTTCATGCTCGTATTCGTCAAAAATGCTTTATCCGTACCGAATACCAGTCTGAAACGAGTGTCCGGCTCATCCCTAGTACAAAACACAACATTGTGGGAATATCTTTCAGTGTTCTGTCGGAATCACAAAGAAAAACATTCAACACTTCAGCTGAACATCCTTTATGTAGCTGGTTCACACGGAGTCCGTAATGTCACCTTAGATCACCTGCTACTGTCTTAACTTCATCACCGTGCTTTATGTCCCCATTTTAACTGCATGGTTGCCAACTTCTCTGAGTTTATATGACTTTTTTTTTCTTTTAGTAAAACAAACATGGACTTTTTTAAAATACCTGTTTCAACTTCTCTGAGTTGTCTCACATTTCTCACACTTTTTTCTCATGAAAACTTAATTTAGAATTGACTTCTAAGGCTTCAGGGTGGGTTCTGGACTCCTGTGATGCCCGTGTGAAATTATGTTGAATTTTTGTCTGCAGTTCAGCCGTGGAAAATGAAAACCTTCCTGAATCTTTCAAATCATTCTCTAACTCTCTTATTGATTCTGTTTGTTTCTGATGTGAGTTAGCAGCCATAATTCCTCTCCTAGCTCTGTGCTAATAGCTTAGTTAGATGATCTACAACAGGGGTGTCAAACTCATTTTAGCTCAGGGGCCACATCGAGGGAAATCTAGTCCCAAGTGGGCCGGACCGGTAAATTAAAAACAACTTCAGATTGTTTTCTTTGTTTTAATTCAGTCAATATAAGACAAGGCTGGAGCCTGAGGACAGTGTATCCAAAATAGTACAAGTACAACACCTGAAGTGTACTTAAAAATTTGAAAAAATAAAATAAAAAAATCAACAAATAAAAAAAACATTCCTTAGTGATTCAAAGAGCTTACAGATCACATGGCTAGATCAGTTTCATGCAGCACTTAAAGTATATTTGACTCATTTTACTTTACATCTTTTAGCTTTCACCAGAACATCAACATCAGAAGTCACATCCTGAGTGGCGGCCATCTTCAGGATGTGATTCAAGTTCTTGTGTGAGCCTTGAGCGCAGCTTTGTTTTATTTATACTCATTACAGAGAAAACTTGCTCACAATGATAAGTTTATTTTCACTCTACATTGTAAAGTATGAAAATAAAGTTTACACAACCATCTCGCGGGCCGGATTTAACCCGCTTGCGGGCCGGATCCGGCCCGCGGGCCGCATCTTTGGCACTCCTGATCTAGAATAAATCTAGTTTAATGGAGGAAAGTTCTACTCGAGTGGCACGTACGATGAGTATTTGTTTGTCACAATTTAGGTGCAACGACTACAGCGATTCAAACCAGAACTCCAGAGGATTCTACCCATCCAGCAACGGAACCGTTCGGACCGGAGCCCGACAAGACAAGAGCCGCACTTTGTCAGATTCAGAGAGCCAAGATAAGCGGTCCAAGATCTCCTTCAGCCGCTCACCTATGCAAGCTACTTCATCTCATCTACCCAAAGGAAGTTCATCAGGTCAAGACGGCCCCCCAGCTCACTTTCAACTGATCAATCGGAAACCTCGCAACATCAAACAGCTCGACCTTCAGGGTCAGAATTTAGCTGGGTCATCCCTGCCTCACAGAGGCCTCAGCGCTGATGATGCCGACTACGCCAACCTGATAGGAGCCATGGACAACGACCTCGACCGTCCAGAGTCACTTAGTGCTGAAGCTCCACAGGAGCAGAGCTCTTGGTCCATACAGAACAAAGGTATGCCTGTCTGTCATGACAGCAGAGCAGGTCACAAGTCACAGGTGGTCAAGTTACATTCTGCTTTTCCAGTGTTGGAAAACAAAGGGAAGCCACGTTCCAAAATAAAAGCCCTTAAAAAGAAGGATGACAAGGAGAAAAAACTTACAGTAAAGACTCAGGGAGATGAGCCGAAGGACAACATGGCCGACAATGACGACAGCTCCTCCACCACAACAGAGACATCCAACCCAGACACGGAGACAAACCTCAAAGAGGTATTCTGAGTCTAGCTGCCAGGTCATGTAGTTTATCACGTCTGTCTCCTTAAATCATTCTGCTGTCGACAGGAACCTGTGAAAAAGAAGGGGAGGACAGTCACTCCTGGAAAGATAAAAGAAGAAACTTCAAATGTCCCAAGCAAACCCAAAGAAAGGAAGCAAGAAGCATCTAAGAAGGAAAATCAGGCAGAGAAATCCAGGTTTGCTTTTGAAGAAGTACTAAATGATAGTTTATTTGTTCTGTTCTGGTTTGTTGGTTGAACGTTTTCTGTATTTTCTTCAGTTCTCTGGAGCTGCCGTATAGAACCCCACTGGAGAGCAAGAGGAGGAGCTTCACATCCAAAGTTCTTCATCCCCTCACCCCAAAGACAAGAGTCCAACAGAAACAGAGAAGTGAGTCTTCACTCGTCACGGCCATCACATGGTTTTTGTGAGGACCGGCCTGTGTCTTACTGGTTTGTCTTTGGCAGCAGAGGGGAAGCTGGAGGACAGCCGCCCCTCCCTTCTAGCCAAACTGTCGTCCAGCTCCTCTGTCCCTGAGCTGGGTCACAGCAGCAGCTCTGAGGGCGAGAAGGAGTTTGCTTCACCTGAGTGGGACGTTCCTCTTCCTAATAATGGCCTCCGTAAGTCCTGAATCAGCCTCTTCATCTGCAGCCAGGTTCCAGATAACGCTCCACGTCTTCTCTTCTGTCCTCCTCCAACAGAAGCAGATAGTCTGCAGCAGATTTCTATCCAGACCATGAACGCAGATCCTTTCCTGAAGAGGTCTGCCATGGCTGGGACCTGCTCCCCCCCACCCACCTCCCCCAGCCTGCTGTCCCGAGGCACCTACAGCAGCGTGCTCAACAGCAACAGGTCTCTTTCTGTTTCAAAGCTCTCTGCACCTTCATCTCCAAAGTCAGGAACACGGTGTGACGGCAGAGTCATGAAAGCTTTTGTTTACATTTAGTAAACTGTTTTTTACATGATAAAAATAACAGGGCTGGCTGAATCACATGGGGGATAGTTCTGTTCAGCCTTTCATAACAGTAAACAACACAAATCACCATCTCTCGTTAAAACGCCACTTTAAACTGTTTCTGAAGATGGAGAATAAAAGCTTTCTGACTCGGTATTAGTAGACTGAATCAGTGGCCTTTATGTATTTGTGTTCTTAAAGCAACACAGACCAGTTTCCTCCTCTGCCCTACTGGTTGAAAGTGGAATTACAACAGCCTGCTGTAGCTAGTGCTAATGACAAGCTAACACTAACATGAGATGATTAATACTAAAATAAACCACAACAGAAAAAGATCCACACCGTTTGACAAAAATATTATTACTTGCAAGTCCATCAGCAACATCAGCACCAGCAGGCCAGGTCACCAACAGTCCATGCTTTTGTAGCCTCCTTTAGCTCCCTCAAACTAGTGCAGGCTGCACCAGTGTTCACTCTGGTTTTAGCTCTTCGCTTCGCCCCCAAACACATTACTCTCTTACTTTTATTTCCAGGCTCTGCCATGATGCAAACAGAAAAGCAAACTTCTTCTTCTTCTTATCCTTTTTACTGATTATAGACAAACTGAAAATGGTAACTGCTAGCATGACAGCTAACAGCTGTAAAGCAGGTCCTAGGATACCTCCCCACTCCATAAAACTGTCTAGTGCATGTTTGGGCTGCAGAGCGTTGCCAGATGTGAACGTGGTCAACTTTCTAACCCAACAATCACTGAGATCAATGTTAAAGCTCTGGCTTAAAGTTTAAAAACACGATCTGTTGTTACTTGTAACCAAGTCCTGATTTACCTTCGTTAAAGGATGACGCCTACTCTTTGGCTAAAGCGGACAAAAGGAAAGGTACACAAGCAGGATGAAATAGTAAACCAAAGAATCAACCTGTTGCAGGAACAAGAACCCCCCGAAGAGTAAAACCATGTTTTTTTTTCAGCATCGTCCTATCGGCCACTTCCTGCTTTAACAGGCTCGTGTTGAGATGTTGCGACTTCTCAAAACACTGCTGCTTTCTTCAGAATCCATTTATCTCCACCACAGTGAGTGTGGTGTCTAGTCACGTTACATGATCTCGTCTTCTTTAAGCATGCCATGTGTAGTAGTGTGAGTGAAGTCAGATATTTAGGAATATAACTGCCTTAAAGGGTTCATTTAAGTGTTTATGGAGCAGTCGGTTCAAGAGGAGTCAGCACAATCTACAATAAAGGTCCCTTTATTAACGTCACTTAGTGCATTATTAGGCATTAATAAACAAAGGATCCCTTTATTAACGTTAATGTTATTGATAATATTTGGTTAGGTCAAAAGGCTGGGGGGTGTCTGCTTCCTAATGCATTACTTACATTATGAAGTTAATACTTCATTTGATGCTTTGTTATTGCTTAAAAATGCACTCAGTAAAATTAATTAGGACTCTTAATGCAAAGAGAGTCATGCCAGCATTAATGCAAAGAGAATTTCAGTAATAATAATAATAATAATAATTTCAGTAGTCAAAAACAACTGAACCATGTTCCGCGTTTAACGCGGTCTCTTTGTGCGCCGCTTGTTTATTTTCACCAGTTTTAACAGAACGACTGTCATGATGCTAATCGCTCCGAGGCTGCAGAGCCTCGATCAGCTGAGTCCGCCACGGGTCGTTCCTCTTCTTTAACCAACAGTTCTTCCTCTGGCTTGTACTGATATTTGTTGTTAAACAGCAAGTCACCACTTCTGTAATGATTTATTTTTAGCGTTTCAATGTTTTTGGGCCTGAGAAAACCAAAAAACTACAGCTGGATTTTTGAACACACTAAGCAGCATTAAGTTTCACGTAACATCCTTGACATTCACTTCTTAAAGGTGTGGAACACTAAAACCCCATTTTTAATTGTTCTTTCTGATCATATTCAGTCACTCTGAGTATTTCCTGCAGGCTGAACTTGAAAATAATCTCCTACATTAGCTTCTGATAGAAAATGGTGGTGGTGCGACGGATCAAACGTGTCACCGTTCATATCACGGTTTTCGTTGCCGATCGGATCGTTTTTCGGACCAGCAGAAAGAGAAAAATAACAAATAGCTTTGCTCTCTTCTATTTTGTAGAACACTGTTGACGTCTGTTGAGTAGGGGTGTAACGGTACGCTAAAATCATAGTTGGTTTGGTTCAGTGTTTTGATAAATTTTGGGTTTATTAGTATTATATTTATTTATTTAATAACATCTATGGTGAGCAGAACCAGGTGTTATCACAGGCTGCTGGTCTAGCCTGATGTCTTTAATTATTTCACACTGCGCAGCGATAAGTGTCGCGTTCATACACACACGTGTTGAGTTTAACTGTTGATGCCCCGTGTTTTATTTCTGCAGCGAGCCTTAAAAACTCACCTCACACCGCCCAGAGTTTATTTTAAAACTCGTATTAAATAACGAGCTTCCTCCGCGCCTTATTTTTCGTTGCAGGAGGAAATCTTTACATCAGTTGCCACGGGGAAATTCAGCAGACATGTTTGTCCTCGACATTTACAGGTCCCACCACGTTTAGGTCATGTCCAAGGCATGTTTCACGCACCAACCCCTCCCTCCTTTCACAGTGATCGAAGTTGTGTGTACGGCACATGCGCTGCGCCATCAGACTGGAGGCGTGTGTTGATTTTTGCCGTTTGTGTCATGGTTGTATTTTACAGGGGAGCCAAAATGCTCCCATACATGCAACCCAAACGGTCCAGGAGGTTTTTCAAGCTCCTCTCCTCCCCGCCACGATCACTGCTTGAAAAGGTAGCGCCTCCACGTAACCGATCTGTGAATTGCATGCGTGCCGAACCGTAGAGAGAGATCTGTACTGATCATGGAGCAATGACGATCCATTGCACCCCTAGAAAATAGAAGGCGAAACTCTAGGATTTGAAAATCCTGACAGATATATCACACTGCCACTTTACATTCATGGACTTATTCATCTTTACTCACAACGAGAAAGGCTGATGTTGGTTTAGCATCCAGCTAAAGGCAGAGAACGTCTTTGCTAGAAGCTAACCATTTGCATTAGCAACTCCACCACACAGCAGAACTCCATATCCCGTCATCTGAAGCTCTACTTTGGGTGTTTCTCAATGTCAAGCAAGGCGAACTCTTGCGAGGCCAGGCGCCTTGCTTACGAGGACACTGTCCTTCCTTGGTCAAAGAAAACGGTTAATTGGAACAGACTTGCATCACATCACCGCAGCGGTCATAGAACGTCACGTTCCGGGAGGTAACGTTACATTTTATACGCATAAGTTTCAATATAAATGTATAATAAGCCTTTTACTTTTTGAATTGTGTATATTTTGGTTAAATTTGATATGTAAGCAAGTTACTAACTGCTATTCACCAAAGCTGCAAGTACTAAGCAGCTAACCAGCCACACTGCTTTGGATCTAAAAATCACATTTCAGATATCAGCCCGATAGCTACAATTAGTTGACTTACATTTAAACTTGAAATTGTCTCCCAAAGTAGCTGCCGGTTTCTGATCCGCCATGCTTTTGAAAATAATGCGCTGTATTCTGGGTAATTTTTGACCAATGCTAGGTTACAAGGCACCTCCCGTATATCTTTGCTCAGCTAGCTAAACGGCTAACAAACGGAGAACAGAAGCCTCAGTACAACATGAACACCGGAACACGCCTTGGCGGTTATGGATGATGTATCTCCTAGGCAACCAGGGTGGGAACAAGACATCAGGGCGAGGTTCCGTGGCATTGAGAAACACCCTCTGATGTCGAAATGTTCTAGTTCCTGAAACGGGTGCACCGGAGCTTATGTTCCCCAGAGTACGACCTGCAAGGCATTCATTCCTACAAGAGACCACTGCAAATTACGGATGTGTATTGGTGAAATTCTGACGATACGTATTACGATACATGGGAGACAATACGATATATCACAATATATTGCGATACATTCAGCCAGACAATACTGGCAATTTTTTTAGACTGAATTTATTGTAGGAAAATTAAATATACAGTCCAAACTCATACGTAACATGTTTAACGTGAGGTAATACACAAATGTTTGCATGTAAATTCTTCCCAAAAATTTGATACACAGCTTTTGATTATCAATATAATGTAGGAAAAAAAATCACGATATTGCCTAATCAATATTTTCTTACATCCCTACTGCTAATGTATTGATTAAACAAGTGTTCCACACCTTTAAGAAGCTGGCAGAGCAAACGACTGTCTCAAGTGAAAGTGCTGCAGTAATATTTTGTGTAGACGTATGGAGTTGTTTTAGAAGTGCTAAATTCTCTCTTGAACTGCTGTCCTAATATAGCAACGAATGTAAGGTGAAAGAATCACAGCAACCAAGGAAACGCCAGAGGTAGAGCTTACAAGTGAAACTGGAGAAATGAGAAATGGTGCAAATGTCCATTTATTTCAGTAATTAGACTGAGAGACCATCTAAAGGCTCAGGGACCCTTTGCATGTGTTTAGGAATCATTAGCTGATTAAAGTGTGACACTCTGAGTCTAGAATTTTTAACCTTTTCACAATATTCTCATTGTTTGAGATGTTGAATGTGGGGTTCTCATGAGCAGTAGTAAGCCACGATCGTCACAGTTCTAACAAATAAAGGTTTGAAGTTCCTGGCTTTGCGTGTAATGTGTCTGTCTCATGTTAGTTTCAGCTTTGACTTACTGAAATAAACAAAATTATGCTCCATATTCAAAAAATGTTTTTGTTTCACCTGTAAACACAACCGTTAAGAAAAAAGTCAAGAAAACTTGACTTCTTTTATCATAAGAAGATGAAACAAAAATAAAAATGCATTTGTTTCCCTTCTCAAGCCGAGCTGCCAACGTATTTACTCATGGAGCAAATACCAACCCTCTGACAAATAGTACACGTTTCATAAGTATTTATGTATATTAATGTTTTCTTAATTCTGCTGATGTGTGATTTACGGTTTCAGTGAGGTCGTTCAGAAAAAAGCTCCAGGAAGCAAACTGTCTACAGGAACGCCACTCCCCGGTAAAAACGGGAACCCCACGTTTGCCGCCGTAGCTGCAGGCTATGACAAAAGCCCAGGTGGATATGCAACACCGATGCACTTGTTGTTTGACTCCGCAGAACATTTAATTAACTGTGATACTCAATGTTCTCGTGACCAGGTGGGTCCGGCCCAGGTAAAGCTGACGGCCAGGGCAAGCCTCTGGCACACATGCCACCTGTGGACAGAGATGGTTCTGACAGGTAATCAGGAGATGATCAGGAACATCCAGTTGAACGACTCTTAATAATTTATCATTTTTCCCTCTAAAGTTCTGGACCGTGGAGTTCATTGGACACAACCAGCAGTCCAAGCTACCAGCCACCAAACTCTTTCTCAGCTTTTGGGCCCAACAACTCCTTCAATCCCATGAGAGGTAACTTGGGCGGGTCAGGTGGCTGCTTGCTAGTAAAAAGGACAATGTGGAGGAACTGGTTTAACGATAATTTGTTAATTTCCACCATGCTGAAGTGTGTGTGTTTAGTTTTCAGTGGGATGAATCTCCCAAAGCTGTCAGAGCCTCAGCCAAACTGGCCGGAGTTCAGCACCGGCTCGTCGTCCATCTGGAACACGCCGGGTAGCGACTCTCTGCACTCCTGGCCCACCAGCTCCAACTCACCGACCTCCCCGACTTCAGTAAGCTCGGCTGTCTGGTGTAAAAGTACTTCACCGGTTTGGTTTCTAACACCTCGCCTTTATTCGTGTGCAGTCGATCCTGGGAAACACTTGGTCTGCAACCATACCCTTCAGCAACTCCATCTGGTCAACAAGCGCAGATTCATCGCTACACCCTTTCTCACCTCCAACCAACTCGGCAGCTCTGACTAATCTGGTCAACAGCCCCGCCCCGCCCGTTTCCACGGGGATGAGTCGGACCTTTAACCCCTGGAGTGCGTGGCGTCCCACCCTGAGCAGACGCAGCTCCGAGCCCTGGCCCAGCTCTTTAGACAACGACAACTAAGCAGCGAATCCCAGCACTTACCAGACGTCCCTCGTCTGCTAAACCAAGTCTAATTTTCAGAGAATCCCACATTATCTCAGCGTTGGGTTGGTAAAGCAAGCCTTTGTTTCCCCGCAGCTTTTAATTCATGAGGGGCAATAATGCTGTCTTTTATTTGGATTTTTTTAACAGATGCCCCGCCATTCAAACTGTCCTGAACATGTTTGCTGATCCGAGGTCAGCCAGCTTGCTCTAATAGAAAGGCTGGTAAGGCTTCATACTTTCAAAGTTTGGAAAGTTTTGAGTAAAGTTGGAGCAGACATTTTATTTTAACCAGTTTGGTTTATATCGGTTGAAGATTAAAGTTTGTTTCAAAAGTCAGAATTAAACCCTCTAACTTTGGCTTATTTACATTCGGTTGCTGCTTGGTGGAACAAGCTTTATAAAACTGGAAAAGGATTGTTTTTTTCCCACCTCGAAAGCCTAGAAATGCTTCAGGTATGTTCCCCGCTTTTTAAAGAGGAATTCTGTCATCAGATGATGAACGGATTTAAGTTTGAGGTTTGATTTGTTCATCTGTCGCCTCTGTTTGCAAGTTTAATTAAAGGTTTTCATCAGAATTTTCAGGTTTTCTGTCTTATTCCACCAAAAGTGAGACTTGCTTTGTTTTTCCAGTGTTCTCATGACATATCTAACATCTAGAGAGATTAATTGTTCTCTTAAATATTTGCAAAAGTATAAAAGTTATAATAAACTGCAACATTTTTGATAGAAAACGGAGTGACATCAAGTGGAGTGACCCAGCAGTCAGAGTACACACATTAACATTTGACTAATTTTGGTAACCTCACAAGCTCAGCACACACACACAATTGTGGGGATCCCCTGCGACCTTTAGAAGACCCTCTTGGGTTACGGACCCCAGACTGGGAACCACTGCTCCTAGGCCACTGAGAAGTTAAGTAAAGGTGGAAGAGGGAAAACTTGATATTTTTGGGCATTACATATTTTACGGGATCTGAACAAAACTAAAATATTTTTGCATTCTTTGTAATTTTATTACATTTTTCTTGTTCTAACCTGCGTAAAGGGTTAACTTCTCCATCATACATGTAGTATGCAAAGGTATGCCCTCTGGTGGTTACAGGGCTAAACTACAGCCACAGTACACTCGGGAGGATAGAAAATAAATATATGCAGGTCAAAAATACCAGCATGACTGTAGTTTCTAATCAAAATGTCAGATGTATAACTGTTAGTTTCAGACCAATAAATACCTTACTAAATCTAATAGACAGACATTCATAGAAGAAGAAATTATTTTTTAAATGTACACATTTTTGTTTTAAGCAAGGTTCAGTCACCACCAAGGAGCTTCCTCCTAAATGTGGGGAGCCCATGCATCCTCCTATTTCCATATTCATACTTTTGTACGTGTTTCTTGTTCTAGACAAGTAAAGTGGATGTAAATGTCGTAAAATGGTTTATCTAAAGATTAAATAAGTGAAGAATCACGGTTGTCAGGCTCTGGGGATGAACATGAAGACTTGTGGATCAACTTTTGTATTGTTGAAGAACAAAGGGTCTCCCAACAGTAGTATGTAATGTTATTCTTAAATTATATGTTACTTATATCATGTTATATTATATTTGACTTTAAATTTTAGTTTTCCCCTTTTTCTCTTTATTGTTTCAAGATTATTCAATACATTTTTCTATGTAAATATTCTACAATTATTCAACAACTTACGCAAACGGGGTATCAAAGTATTCATCTCGTCCAAGAAAGGCTATGACTTCTTTGTTTAGTAGATCATTATTTAATAAATAAATTATTAGATCATTAGTTTTTGGATCATTTAAATATAATTAAGTGCACTTCCATCAACATCCACCGGCATCAGGTTAGTTGGTGAATCTAAACTGGACCTAGCCATGTTGGAGTACCAAGTCTTGTGTGGTGTGAGTCGGTGGTTCTGTGTTCAGGAAGCCCTTCCCTCCAGCATGAGGTACAAAATAAAAACTGCAGCACAAGTGTTATCGCCCAGGAAACAGATCATCACCCGATTAAATTATTTCTGTCTCCTTGTGCTGCTCGGGGGTTTTCCCTACGCATGTGCTCCAGTGTGCCCCAACCCAAACTCCTAAAATCATGACACGTTACATCTCCCAACCAAAGACTTGTATTCCATCAGGCGTACTGCAAAACTTTTACAGTTACCACAGTCCAGTATATCATTCTTACATCGCAGTGAACCGAAGTCGTCATGGATTTACCATTCACCATTTAGGTGAATGTACTTAAGCGTAATAAGGAAATGATGATGGCTGACGGTCTGTATAGGTCCAGTAACGGCTGTAACTTTAAACTTAAATATGGTTATTTTCCTGCATCAAGGCAGTATTTTAATGTTTGTTCTAAATCAGGTGTGTACAAGGTGCGTCCCGGGGGCCATTTTGCGGCCCTCTTGAGTGATTTTGCGTGGCTCTCGCTAGCATTTTTAGAATTGTGGAATTAAAGCCCGGGGCTATCTGAAGACATCATTTTAAATAGAAACCATTATAGTTACTGAGAGTGGCTCGCAAGGAGCTTGGGGAAGATAGGCGCCAGTTATGTTTCAAGGGCCGTGGCGTGGCTGTTTACAACAGTGTGGAGTATTTTACAACAGAAATTGCGATGCGGAATGGCTTTACGGCACAAACTCAACCGCCGGCACAAACCCAGCTGCAGTTTTGATAACTTTAAAGTACTTTTGATTTTAAAATATTCTAATAAATAGCATGCTTACCCAATTTTAAGTAATTAAGAGTGTCAAAAAACATCACGGCAAGTCTGATCACGTATAAACAATAGAGTCACTTCCTGTTCTCAAGTCCTGCATGATGTTGTAACTATCGCGTGACTTTCCAATAAGCACTCAGCGGCGCTTCCTGTGTGACCACTGTGGCGCAGCGCGTCTTGTCTTCGGTGTGCTCCAGGCTTAAGTCTCTCCAGGAAGCTGTTCAGATTTTATGTTCATATTTTTACTTATATATACTGTATATTAGGGATGTAAGAAAATATCGATATGGCAATATATCGTGATATTATTTCCAGCAATATATCGATGTTCAAAAGCCGTGTATCGGAAATATCGATATGGCAATATATCGTGATATTTTTTCCTGCGATTATTACATCGATATCCAAAAGCCGTGTATTTGATCTTTGAAAGAATTTACATGCAACCATTTGTGTTTTTCTTTTCGTTTTTTGCAATTCAATCACCACCTGCTAGATGGCAGCAGTGTGCAACGGGTTTTGTTTCCACCATTGAAATGTAAATCCCTCCATCATGGGTCAGATACCTCATGTTAAACATGTTACGTATCAGTTTGGACTGTTTATTGAACATTCTTACAAAAAATTCAGTAAAAAAAAAAATTGCTTGTAACGTATTGCAATATATCGTGATGTATCTTATCGTCTCCCCTGTATCGTGATATGTATCATATCGCCAGATTTTCAACAATACACATCCCTGATATATATATATATATATATATATATATATATATATATATATATATATATATATATATATATATACACTTCAGATGTTTTTGAGCTGAACAAATGAAAATTATAAAATTATGTTTGCATTCTTTAAAAAAAATTGTGAGCTGTGAGGAGTTTTAACTTAATGATTTTGGCCCTCATAAGTTTGGACATCCCTGTTCTAATTAGACATATTTTTTTGAATCCCAAAAAGTAAAAACACAACAAACCTTCATTACATTTTTTGTTCTGCATCAAAGCAGTTCATAATAAATGTTTTTTTTAATCTGTAGACAAATATTTAAAAAATCAAAAACAAACAAATACAGTTCTTTTCCTGCATCCAGTAACTTATGCAGGTTTTGCTTTACCGTTTCATGTCACCTGTAAAAAGCAAAAGGCGGGAACAACTATGGGTGTTTCTCAATGGCAAGGCGCCTTGCTTATGAGGACACTGTCAGTCCTTGGTCAAAGAAAATGGGTAAATGGAACGGACTTACATCACATGAGCGCTGCAGTTTACGTCATACGTGAGGTAACATTATGTTGTAGTATAAGTTTCAATATCTATGTATAACAAGCTTTTTATTGTATATTAAATAAAATCTGTAAGCAAGTTACTACCTGCTAGCCATTGAAGCTGCAACTACTAGCAACTAACCAACCATAGCTAACTGCTTTGGATCTAAAGAAAAACATAGATATCAGCCCGATAGCTACAATTAGTTGATTTACATTTAAACTGCAATTTTGCCCCTGAAGTAGACGCCATCCTTTTGAAAATACTGCGCTGTATTCTGGGAAATTTTTGACCAAGGCCAGGCTACAAGACACCTCCCATGTATTCTTGCTCAGCTAGCTAAACGGCTAACAAATGGAGAACAGACTCCTTGGCAGCACATGAACATTGGAACACACCTTGGTGGTTCTGGATGACGAAACCGGGGCAGGACCAAGACATCAAGGTGTAGTGGGAGAGCATTTCCTCTCCTGATTAGTGGAAGGTGTTGTCAGTCAGCTCGCTGACTGACAACACCTTCCACTAATCAGGAGAGGAAATGCTCTCCCACTACACACACACACACACACACACACACACACACACACACACACACACACACACACACACACACAATCATGGTGGGACCTTAGGAGGCAGAGAACAAATCTCACTAATGTAAAGTGAAATGGTAAAGAATGATAGTTTCTTCTGAGTAACGTGACGAGCTAATTGGCTGATTTTACTTCTTTTTTTTGTTTAAAATAAAAAGCCTAACATTGTGTGAGGGAATGCATGTCACCCTTTTATTCCACGATGGTCAAGTCTCACAAACAGCCTTTTGCATGGCTGTGAGACTTGACATTAAAAGATTTCACAGAAAATGATGGTTTAAAGGACTCTTAGGTACTATGACACCTCAGTTTAGCTGTATAGTTGTATCACAGAGAGCCAGCCATTTCTGTGTTTGTTAAAATCAGTTGGCCCATCTTATTGGGGTTAATTCCCAACATTAATCAGTTGTAGACAATGTTTTTTTTCTAATTATACTCATATAAACTTGATCAAATCTTAAAATGTAGTAGGATCAGACAAATTCCACAATATTCTGATGAATAAAACCTTAAAAGGAGGTTGTCAATTGTTACCATAACTGCACGTCCATCAGGGTACTGAAGGTTATTTCTTGCATGGTTGTCTGAGGGACTCCATCAGTAACCGACTGAGCTTAGTTAAATCACATTTAGTCATTATTTTTACACTGTGGTTCTTCTTCAGTTGGTTTGTGCGATCCAAAACCATCATGCCTCGGGCAATGGAACCTTGCAGCTCCACACGAACAGGACACTCAATGCTCTCCAGCACCATGCTGCTGTCAACACAAGCTGCCATTGCGTAGGAATCATAAGAGACGAAGCCCGGCCCGAAAAACACGTCTCTTTTACTTTTCAAAGCCTCTTTGGAGTAGGCCCAGCACTTAGACGTTATCATCTTCATGAAGCGAGCTGCTGGAGCATCCTGATGGATTAGCTCTTCAAAGAATTCCTGCACAAATGGAATCAGTGAGAATTATGGGATGCTTGGGTTTAGTAGTTCATACACACACAGCTTACCCAGGTCAGAGCGTTTCTGCATGAGTATTCCCATGATGCAATGTAAGTAGGGCAAATGAACTCCTCAAGAACAATATAAGCCGACTCAGGATCCATTGCAAAGTTAAATTCTGCACAAAGTGTCACATTCCCTTTTCCTGCAACAATGAAAAGGTTGTGTGAGGCTGCTGGTCACTGGTACAAACGTTCACAGTCGTATGTTGGGTTACCTTCCATGTTGCCACCCATTATGTACAGATCTCTGAGCTTATTAGGAAAGCACGGATCAAGTCTGACAGCCAGTGCCAGATTGGTGAGTGGACCTAGGGCTACTAAAGAGACCTGTCACAGAAGGGATTTAGGAAGCTGAAGGAACCACACTTTAACCAAAAACAGAAGGGCTTCCTCACCTGCATCTCGTGTTCAGATACCAGTCTGACCATTGCATTAACGGCATGCTCTCGTTGGATTTTCTCCTCCCACAAAGGATCTTTGTACTCCATCACATCACCAAGTCCATCTCCTCCAAAATGGTCACTGAACAGATTACCGATTCCAACCAGAGGACAAGCAGACCCCCGAAACACTGGAATCTACATAGGAAAACCCACTCTTAGAGTTTTGGGGTCAAATAGAAAATGAGCATGTTATTCTGTCCAAGTACCAATATGCTTGCTTAAATGGTAAACGGCCTGTATTTGATACAGCACCTTCTAGAGTCCTGGACCCCCCCCCCCCAAGGCATTTTACAACACAGTCATTCACACACTTACACATCCTGGTGGTGATGAGCTACAATGTAGCCACAGCTGCCCTGGGGCGCACTGACAGAAGCAAGGCTGCCAAGCACTGGCGCCACCGGTCTCTCTGACCATCACCAGCATTACATAATATTGTAACGGGGCGACGGTGGCACAGGAGTTAAGTGCTCGCCCGTAATCGGAAGGTTGCAGGTTCGAGCCCCACTCAGTCTGTCACTGTCGTTGTGTCCTTGGGCAAGACACTTAACCCACGTTGCCTGCTCGTGGTGGTCGGAGGGACCGGTGGCACCTGCGCTCGGCAACCTCGCCTCTGTCAGTGCGCCCCAGGGCAGCTGTGGCTACATTGTAGCTCATCACCACCAGTGTGTGAATGTGTGTGTGAATGAGTGAATGACAGATTGTGTTGTAAAGCGCCTTGGGGGGTTCCAGGACTCTAGAAGGCGCTATATCAAATACAGGCCATTTACCATTTAAACAGTTCTAAATAATTTGTTGATTTATTAATGCTTAATAATGCATGAAGCAACATTAATAAATGGGACCTTTATTATTCACATACAGCGGTAACAAATGTACCTCCTGGCGCTCACAGACAGAGAGCACCCTCAGAACATTTTGACACACATTTGCCGCCGCTGTGTTCCCAAACACACAAGTCACAGCAAGAACCTCCACGTCCGGTGCTGCCAAGGCCATCATTAGGGCCTGAGCATCATCGATGCCGCTGTCTGTGTCAATGATCAACAACTTCTTCGTCATGGTTTTCTCCTGGCCTGGAAAATCTGGAAATAAAATGAACTTTTAACAGTCATATCACACAAATTACAATTACCTTTAACCTGAGGACTCTTGTTTATTTGCAAGTGGAACAACTGTTGCACATTTATCTTTAGTGTCAAACAAGAGATATCATGTCAAAACTCCAAGTCAGCAACTGTTTGGTGATTTTTTATGACCTTGGTGACCTGTCATGAACTTAAAAAGTATTTTGGGTAAACTGGAGAGTTGTATGGTCTCTGTGAGCTTTTTTTTGTGTCCTCTGGGGAAAACTTTAGCTTTACTCACTGCAGCTCAAGTTTTAACAACGCTAGTTTAACTTCTCTTCACAGGCTTCCAGGCTGTCACTGAATCGGGTTTGAAACTTTCAATGTTCGTTTTTAAAGCTTTTAATTGTCTGGCTCCTTCATACCTCCTGGATCTCCTGGAACAGAACCATAAAAAAACTCAAGTCAAACCTGTTCCAAGCTTCAAACTGAGGGGTAAATCAATTGTTGTTGGGTTATTTTATTTATTTATTTGTATTTTTGTGCAGTTGCAGCTCCAGGCCTGTGGAACAGATAACAATGCACATCAACTCGGCACAGAGAGTAAGACTTTACAATAAAGGTTTCTTTATTAACGTTACTTAGTACATTATTAAGCATTAAATGCAGACTTGACAGTTTTGTCTTGCTTTAACGACCCTCCTAGTGTGTGTTTAGCAGAACCAAAAGCAAAACCTTATCTCGTAACTGTGAATTCATCTTTGTTATGTCTCCTCTGCCTTCATTATTGTCTACAGGAGTGATTCATCAATAAATTAAACAAATCAGCTGTGTTCATGATCTAAAACGTGCACGGAACGTGCTGGGAGCTGACTGCAGCGCCAGGTATGTCCGCTACATTTTTTTAAGTCCACAAGTGGCAGGCTACCACTCTGAAGTTGCAAGGGCGATATTGTGGACACAGAGGGCGGTGGGGAGTGACTTTTCATTAACCCTGTAAAGCAGGGTGTCCAACTCCAGTCCTCGAGGGCCGGTGTCCTGCACCTTTTTGTTGTTTCCCTGTTCCGGGTTGGTTCGCATGAGTTCTGGGTTGGTTTGCTGGAGTTTTTGACAGTTAAAACTGGCACCCACATTTTCTAAGTTAACACACATTTCTTTTAACAACGGTAGTTTCTGCTTCAGCCCTCTCCCCCCTCGCCCTGCTTCAGCCCCCCCCCCCCCCCCCCAGCGCAGCGGCCACAAACTCACTGATGCGCCTGCAGCCTCTCTGAGTTCCTGCTGCTCTAAACATTGAAAGAATCATTTAATTTTCTGTTCCTCACTTCTGATTACCTTCAATGGTGTCTGTTTGTTGCAACCAGCAGGTACAAAAACTAACTTGTTTTTATTTGACTATTTTTCTGTCCTGCCTGTTTATTATCTTCCTGCATCTCCTCTCAATCCTAAAGAAAAACTGCTACCTGGGTTCATATATATTCACCTCATGAGTTACCTTTGAATTGGAGTTCAAAAAGATCTACTGACTGCAAAAATAGCGGGAGTGTGCGCTGCACGCTGACTGCACCGGTGCAGTGAAGGTGATGCGCTCCGCAGCAGTGAAACGCATTAGGCACAAATAAAAAACAGAAAGCATAAAAGAATATGAGCCGACAGAAACAAACGCGTGTTAACTTTGATTTTGAGGTGGCGACACTTTGAGAATGTTACTGCAGCTAGCTCACCCGTAATTCGGACCCTGCGCGTAAAGTTGGTCGCGTGAGTCGCCGTTGCTGGGGCAAGATTCATAGATGGAAATCCTGGTGAGGACAGAGGGGACATGTCCCCCTCTGACATAAATGCCCCCCCCCCCCCCAAACTCCATAAAACACAAAATGTTTTTTGTTTTAACAATCTGTTAACTTTTGTTGAATGCGCCTCCCCCTTCTTCCCCGCCGCCTAATCCTCAGTGGTTCAGTCCAACAATCTGTGTCTCTGATAGGAGGGGCTGCTGCTGCTCGCACCCAGAGCGCGCTACCTGCAAGGTGCAGGTAAGAGCAGAGCAACATGTATAAAGTTACCTGGTGAGTTTTTAATGCATTCAGTCGTGCTTTCAATGAAAAAAAATATCTATCTATCTATCTATCTATCTATCTATCTATATAGAATATGAGCCGACATATTCTAGATAGATAGATAGATAGATAGATAGATAGATAGATAGATAGATAGATAGATAGATAGATAGATAGATAGATAGATAGATGGTTATTGGTCACTACACTTGTTCAACAAGCACAGGACACATAAAGCTACAGTTCTGCTCCTTTGTGTGAAGTCTGGCATGTTTAACATAGACAACATAAACTGTTAGCTTAAGCATGATGTGTTTATATTAACACTGGACTAAAGAGAAAGGAGAGAGAACAAAAAGAGAAAGACAGATATGTATTTATAGAAACAACAGACAGTAAGAGAGGATAGACAGTTGACACACAGCCATCATCCTCTCATTATTGTCACAAATATTAGACTAACTTGTTTCACTGTCATTTTACATTTCTGTAGTCAGATTGTCCAGGTTTTTACATTTATGTTGGATATTATTACTTAGAATCAAATTTTCTATTTCAGATTTTGTCTTTTTTTGTTGTTGTTTTTTTTAAATATACTTCTACCTTTGACTTAGGCCCTGTCCACACGTAGTCGGGGATCTGCCAAAACGTAGATATTTTTCTACGTTTTGGCCTGTCATCCACACGAAAACGGAGTTTTTTCACACGAAAACAGATCTTTTTAAAAACTCCGGCCAAAGTGAAGATCTGCGTTTTCTCCGTTTTGGGTGTCTGCGTGTGGACGGACAAAACCGGAGTTTTAAGGTCCGCAACGTCACTTTCCGCGACAAAAAAATGCTGACATCACGTGTGCGACCTGTGTTTACACTAGCCGACATCATGGATGCCCTCAGAGCTGCGCTCGCTTTATCAATCGTCCAAGCGCTTTCTGCTTGTTTGTTTTTGCAAGAGGAATTACTGCTCCTTGCGGAAGACCACAGACGAAGGACGAGGTTAAGAACGGGGGAAGTACTGCCGCCTACAGGTCTGGCATGTCCTTAACAACGTATTTATCCGGGTACGTGTGGACAGAGTTTTGTTTTAAACGAGGTGGTGTGGATGCAAGTTTTTGGAGGGGTGGATATTCGTTTAAAAAAACCCGGCTACGTGTGGACTAGGCCTGAGATATTCCGCTCAACAGATATTAATGTTGTAACATTCTGACTGGTAGTTTCCACTTCATATTTTCTTCTAATTATATCAATTTTAAAGTCAAACATCTTTTTACACAGTATAGTAAGTTCACAGTGTTCTGGACTTGTTACGTACACATTCATGCAAACATACAGCAGGAAAAGCTAAATGTAGGCCAGATAAACATATTATCAGCTGGGTACTGAACCTCCTCTAACTCTAAAACCTGTGTTCTTGTTATTGTCCAATCGTCTGGCAGCTTCTAGTCAGGTCAAAATGGCAGAGAAACGACAAATGAAAGACATCAGGTCATTTTTCAGTTCACCAAAACGTCAAGTAAGTCGAAAGACTTGAATAAAGGCACATGTTACCTTGAGACGTGGCAGACGTGTTTACTTCAGCTCCTACTTTTTGTGCTCTAATTCCTCTTAAAACCGTTTTTTTTCCTGTCACTGATCTCTGGATTTTGTGATTTTGTTGGAACTCAGTTGGACCTTTGTTTATTTTTTGGATTCTTTGACTTCTTGGACCTTTAGTTGGAATACAAATCTTTCGGATCCGACAGAGGCAGCTCAGCTAAAGTGTAAGCAACACTGAAGCTATCTTGAATGTCTGTCCTCCCGTTGCTTCTGCCCCACAATGACGCCTTTATGCTTTCTAAAGCAAATAAAAGAACTGAAAACCTTAAAGAGGACATACGACGACTCTCTGCTGAACTGCAAAAGAAGGAAATGGTGCTGGATAGTTTTAGATCTCGTTTTCCTGGACTGTCTGAGACCACTGTCAGTCAGTTTGAAGATAAAACATCCGTGCAAAACTCTCCAAGACACCATTGCTCTGCACCACGAAATCCGACTTCCAGCTCTACTCCTGACCAATTTTCATCTTGGTCAGAGGTCGTGGTAGTGGCCGTAGGAGAGGCCCTGTGGTTGATCCCAACTCCCCACCTGACCTCAATCTTTCAAACCGCTTCTCTCCACTTGCTGAGGAACAACCAGCTGATTCCTCCTGACCTCCTCTTCCCTCCCAACCATCTGATCCCATCCAGCAGGAGCCTGTAGTCCGGAAGAAGCAACATAGGCAGTCTCTTATCCCCAGACCTCAACCTCTGACGCCCGAGGCAAAATACTAAAGGATGCTGTGCATCGACATCCTGCTGGACCTCCTGCCCTGGCTCAGGAGGTGAGCTCTTCCACCTCAAACCCTCCAGTTCCCCGATACCACAGGAACCCAAACCCAGAATCCTCCACACAAATCAGGAGCCCTCTACACCCCGTCCACTGTTGTCACCGACCACTTTGCTGGCAGGTGATTTAATAATCAGGAATGTCCGCTTTTTTAACGTCATGACGAGAAGTTTTCCATCTCCTGGATAAACTTCCTGGTCTGCTGTACTCCATCCCAGCTTCAGTTAAAAGAGTGATCATTCATGTGGGATCAAACGATGCTAGTCTGTCATCACTCAACAGCATGTGAACCATCTCTTTGACATTCTGAAGAGCAGCAGAATGTCGGTTTTCATCTCCGGCCCGATCCCCACAGTTTCTCGTGGATATGGACGTTTTAGCCGTCTGCTCTCTCTCCACTCCTGGCTTCAGTCTGCTTGCAGGTCCCACAGTTTTGGTTTCATCGATAATTTTAACCTGTTTTGGAACCGTTCCTCCTTTTTCAGGCGAGATGGTATTCACCCTAACCGACATGGCTCAAGCATGCTAACCGCTAACATCCGGTATGCTGTGCAGTCCCATAGATGTATATCCGTGGTGGATTCCCTTCCACAGACACGACGGTTTACATCCCAGAGATCTTCACCTTCTTCGGCCTTTGCTCAAACCTCCACTTCAAATAACATCACTCCCTACAACCCTCCCATGATGCAACAGTCTTCTGTGTGTCTTCCAAAGGTCACAATCCCCAAAATGTTGTCTTCTGCTGACAAACCCAAAAGATTTCCTATTCCAGTTCATTTATCAGCCAGCAGAGACATAAACTGTATTCATGGCCGAAGAACCCAGAACACCAGATGTTTACGACGCATCCCTCTCCAGCAGGTTAGGAAGACAAATGTTCTCCAGGATTCAGTTCAAGGTGCCCTGTTAAACGCCCGTTCCATCTCAAACAAATCCTTCATTTTAAATTAGCTGTTCACCAGAGAAAAGTTGGACTATTTATTTCTTACAGAGACGCGGCAGCAAGATGGCTATTTTGTACATTTAAATGAAATATGTCCACCAGACTGCTCTGTGTTTACCACACCACACCCGACACGTCGTGGTGGAGGTCTTGCTGTGGTCTTCAAGGACAAACACGTCTGTAATCTGGTGAAAAATGGCCCTTTTACAACTTTTGAATGTCAGGTCATCAAAGCAGGTTTACAAAATGTATTTCACTGTATTTTAATCTACCGACCTCCCGGTCCAGCTGGCCCTTTTCTCTCTGCATCTGCGGATTTTCTATCATCAATGATCAAACTAAAAAAAGTTTTAATCCTTGGCGATTTTAACTCACACATTAATGATTCTAATTGTAGCACAGCAGTGGAGTTCGTGTCTATTATGGAGTCTTTTAACTTAGAGCAGCACGTTTCAGGCCCCACACACTAAATGGGCCACTCTAGATCTTGTTTGCTCTTTGGGACTAAAAATCAATCATTTACATGTTGAAGAGGTTCATGTGCGTGACCACAGCTGCACTTTCTTTAATGTCCTATCTGATGTTGAATCTGTCCCTCACACCTAAAATCAAAGAGACGTGTCATTAATCAGGCAGCGGTGGATGGATTTTCTAGATGACTTGACAGCAGCTCAGTTCAGGGTGATGATCCAAGCTTGTTCATCCAGTCATTGGATAAACAATGCTGCAGTATCTTAGATAAAGTAGCTCCTTTTAAGCAGGTTACTTTTTCTAGCAAGAGAAAAGGTCCTTGGATTAATAAAAATATGTACAGTCTCAGAAGGACACGCCGCAGAGCCGAGAGACGTTGGAAGTCGACTAGATTAGAAAGTCACGGGCTGCACTTTAAAAAACTGATAACATCTCTGAATGAGACAGTAAAAACTTCCAGGGCCACTTACTTTGCTCAGCTGATAAAAATAACTCTAAAGTCCTGTTTGACACCATAAACCAGGTTGTTTCTCCTCACGCCCCTCTTATGCCAGTTTACTCAAGGTCTGACTGTAACAACTTTCTAGCGTTCTTTGAGAATAAAATGAGAAATATCACCCCCATCTACTTCCTACCCCCCCATCCAACCCCCTCCCTCTCAATCATGGTCTGTCTTTACTCCTGCAGATTTCCAGGACATTTGCCTATTCAGAAACACATGAAACCAACCTCAAGCCCTGCTGGTTTCATTCCTGATATCTTGTTCATCAGGATGTTTGACCAAATTGGCCCATGCATTGTAGATTTTATTCATTTATCCCTATAATCTGGCTCTGTACCATCTGTTTTCAAACATGCGGTTATTGAACCCATCCTTAAAGAAACAAGTTTGGACTCATCTCAGCCTAAAAACTACAGACCCATTTCTAAATGACCCTTTATCTCTAAAATATTGGAAAAGGTTGTGGCGATCAACTGATGACTTTTCTGGAACTACACAACAGTTTAGATAAATTCCAGTCTGGTTTTGGTAAAAAGCGTTCAACAGAAACCGCTTTGCTTAAAGTTTCCAGTGACATCATGATGGCTGCAGACAACGGAGAGTTCATGGTGTTAGTACTGTTAGATCTTTCTGCAGCTTTTGACTCTGTTGATCACAGCACCTTCATTAACAGACTTGGTGACTCGGTGGGGATCTCTGGAACTGGTCTAGACTGGTTTAGATCGTACCTTTCTAACAGAAGTTACAGTGTCTGTATAAACCACATCATGTCAGATTCTACTGATCAGTTATGTGGGGTACCCCAAGGCTCTGTTTTGGGTCCACTGTTGTTTCTGCTGTACATACACCCTCTTGGACAGATACTTGATTCTTTTCATAATGTCTCTTATCACCTATATGCAGATGATATTCAGCTGTACTGCTCCTTTAAGGATTCTGAGTTCTATAAACTGTCTGAATTACTAGAGTGTCTATCAGCGATCACCATGGCTAGAAGATAACCTCCTTCAGTTGAACTCTGAAAAGACTGAATGTCTGATCATTGCCCCTGAGAGCATGGTTCCCCTGGCTAGTCTAAAACTTGGTCATTTATCCTCTGCTGTCAAGACAAACTTAAGGAATTTGGGTGTTTTTGACCAATCAGTGTCTCTTGAAGGTCACTCAGAAACGTTGGTCCAAAACTGTTTTTATCATTTAAGAAATATCTCCAAACTGTGAAGGTTGGTGTCAAAACTGAACTTGAAATGGTTCTCCATGCCTTTATCTCCTCCCGTCTAGATGACTGTAACACACTTTTCACATGTTTTAACAAAAAAGCCCTTGACCACCTTCAGTTGGTCCAGAACTCTGCAGCGAGGCTCCTAACTGGAGCAAGCAGAAGAGCACACATCACTCCTATTCTGGCGTATCTGCACTGGTTACCCGTTAACTTTAGAGTTCATTTTAGAGTCCTCCTGATTATCACTTTCAATGCTCTACATGGTCAAGCTCCTCCCTATATTACTGAACTGTTAAAGCCTTATGCTCTAACCCTTTCGCCCCTGGGCAAGATCCAGCTAAAATGAAGCCCTGCTTCTATGATGTATTTTAAACTAAAAACGCACAAACGAATAGACTACAAATCATAATATTGTAATGTTTTCTTTATACATTTTTATGAAATTCCTCTGGGGAAATCAAATGGAATATAAACTACAGCAAAGACAACAGCTGCATATGTTTTGAAATAGTATTTCTTGTGTCTTTACTTTTTAAAATGTGTTAAATAATACATTTTAGGTCTCGTGTAAGTTAATGAAAAACAGCTCGGACTATCGGACTCACCTTCCTCGTGTGAAGTTTGAAGAGACGCGACAGATTATTTTGTGATTGGTTTAAATCTGCTGGATTTTTTCACAGCGCGGGTGATAAACAACAATCCCAGCTACGTGAAAATTCACACTTCTTCATTTTAGCACCATACAGTACATTATATCAAAGTGAAATTGGATTTTATTTATATATTTCCACAGTCAGGTGAATTAAAGTCCTCAGTTAGTTTATTTATTTCCGCTTAAATTTCATCGACACCCCTACGTTGCTTGTTCAGAATGGTACAGTCCAGGGAACCTGCTCCTGAGAAAAATACGGGTCAGCAGCGAGTTTTCAGGATTTCATTTATAATTATCTGACTAAATTAAACAGTGTTCATCAACGTTCAGGGATAAATGGTTAGCTTGACGTTTGACCGGGTTTCAGACCGCCGTAGGGCTGGAACCGTGATGAAAACACCGAGGCAGCAGGGCGTGATGCTAGCAGCGGGGATGTAGCCGCCTGCTCACCTCGACAGACATCAGCAGGTGATGTGTGACGTTTAGCTGTTTTAATAACCACTCCGCGTACCTCAGGCGGACAGACAGGATACGTTTAGTTTATGTTAAATGTTGAATATGTTTCTTAATGTCGCGAGTGGTAAAGCGCGAGGAGTCTGACTGCATCCATGTCATCCCTACAGGAGCGAGTCACCTCGTCTTCATCCCTCATCGTCAGCCAGCTCTGAGTGGTCCGATGCCGAACACATCCGAAGGACCGAACCTCTCCGGGCCGGCTGAGCCGTCAGGGGCGCAGATGCCCACCGATGGCGCGCATGAGCGCGGGCTGATGAGCTCCCTAGCCCGGGACGCTGCGAGGCTGAGGCGGGCTTCGAGCGCCGAGCTCCACCTGCAGTGGACCTGCCCGGTCACACACTCCCGGGAGAAGTTCTACACGGTCTGCTCAGATTACGCCCTCCTCAACCAGGCTGCATCTGTGTTCTGCCCACCGAAAGCAGCCCGGAACGCGGCCCCGACCAAGCAGGAGGAGGGAACCCCGCTTGGGAAGTCCAAACAGCCGCCTGACTTCAGCGTGAGTCCGGGTGGAGGTGTAGGATCAGACGGGGACTGCGACATGGAGGAGGTCTCATCCGGCTTTACCAAGCCTCTTCTGGCCTGGGAGATTGATACAGCAGAGTTCAACGCTGTATTTACCAGGAAAACAAGAAGCTGTAAGACATGCCAAAGAAAAGTGTAACAAATGCGTCCATCATGCCCAACTTTAAATCCAACTATTTTTCAGGCAATGGGAAAAAGAGCAGCACCAAGAAGATGAGGCCTTCAGACAGGCCCAGCCGGAATCTGCTGGATGTCCCTGTTCACGCCTCGCTGGAGGACATCAAACAGAGAAAAGTGTTAGACCTTAGGAGATGGTAAGCTTATGTTGAGGAACACACCTCAAACCAGCGGTCTAGCTTTGTTCACCTAACCCAGATCAAAACCAACAAAATATGGGCTGCATGGTGGTGCAGTGGTTGGCACTGTTGCCTCGCAGCACGAAGGTTGCAGGTTCGAAACTCTGCTGCGGCCTTTCTGCGTGGAGTTGCGTGTTCTCCCCATGCATGCGTGGGTTTCCTCCGGGTACTCCGGTTTCCCCCACAGATCACAACATGCCCTACAGGTTATAAACTGTGAGTCGCTTTGGATAAAAGCGTCTGCTAAATAAATAAACATGAACAACAAAGCCTGACACTGAATCATCCCATCCATCCATTCTCAGCCGCTCATTCATTCATTTTCAGCCGCTTATTCATAGTCGGGTCGCGGGGACAGCAGCCTAAGCTGAGAGGCCCAGACTTCCCTCTCCCCAGCTACTTGGGCCAGCTCCTCCGGGGGAATCCCAAGGTGCTCCCTGGCCAGCAGAGAGAAATAGTTCCTTCCGGTGTGTCCTGGGTCTTCTCTTGCGTCTCCTCCCAGTTGGACGTGCCTGGAAAACCTCACCAGGGAGGCATCCTGACCAAATGCCTTAGCCACCTAAACTGGTTCCTCTCGAATTGGAGGAGCAGCGGGTCTACTCAGAGTCTCTCCCGGATGACTTCTCACCCTATCTCTAAGGGAGAGCCCAGACACCCTGTGGAAAAATTTTTTTCGGCCACTTGAATCTGCAACCTTGCTCTTGCGCTCACTACCCAAAGCTCGTGACCATAGGTGAGGGTAGGAACATAGATCAATCAGTAAATCGAGAGCTTTGCCTTCCGGTTCAGCTCTCTTCACCACGACAGACCGGTACGACACCTGCATCGCTGCAGATGCAGCACCAATCTGTCAATCTTGCGCTCCATTTTTGCCTCACTCTGAACAAGACCCAGAGATACTTAAACTCCTCCACTTGAGGCAGGTCCTTGTCCCTGACCTGGAGAAGGCATTTTACCCTTTTCCGGCTCAAGACCATGGTCTCGGATTTTGAGGAGCTGATTCCAGTGTTTCCCCTACATAAGCTCAGGCATTGCGCTGCGCCACCCCTGAAATTCTAGCGGCAAGGCTATGAAACCAACCTCCACCCTCTCATGGCCGACGCACGCACTGAAATGTTCCGCGCTCTATTGCCCCTCCTTTGCTCTCATGGAAGCAAAATGGTTCACGAATTATGACACGTCTCTAAATAACATTAGATTAGATGCACATAATAAATAAAATTACTAACAAACTCAGGAATCTGTTTCTTTGCTTCACTGTTCTGGTGTTGAGAATATCACTAATGCGGATCGAAGGAGATACACAGATGAATGCACCTCTTATTTATTATTTGGAGACTACATTTACTGCAGCTGGCAGAGGCAGAGATTTTTTCTATTGATATACGAATTTACAGAATCATTTTAAATGTTAATAGGGGAAGACCGCAGGAGGGAGCGGTAAAATACAGGGGGTCCCCAGCAAAAACAAGAAACTTTACGAGTCTGATGAACCCCGCTGGTTTTCCATCAGGCAGTCATGGGGCAGCTCCAACGACCCAGTGGCTGTGCTGGGTCAATGTTATCGAGCTCAGTCCGGTGTCGGTACAAGATCTGCTCGGGTGCAAGATCGGCTCGGGGTCCGTCAACTGCCGATGACGTCAAAGTAGTCGATTGGCTGAACATGAACCTTACGGAATTACGTAATCACGTTACGTTGGTCCAGGCAAATCTTTCTGTTGGAAAGATGGACAACTTTTACAAAGAAATCCATCATTACCTCTTTGAAAATACACTTTTAGCAAAGAGCTGCATGTATATTAGGGCTGAACGATTAACTGCATGTGCAATTAAATTGCGATGTGACAAAAGGAGATTTTCTAATCGCAAAGGCTGCAATTTGGCAGCGAGTGGTTAGCGCAATGCTAATATACATGGAAAAACCCATAGAAATGCTAATGCTAATATCACTGATTACATTCTTACAAATTATGAATTAGAAACGTGCCAAATGATTACGTTTGGAGTCTAATAGAAAGTAAAACTATCATCCATCAAATAAGTACAGACAGGTATTTTAGTAAAGCCAGAAAACTTTTAACTCCAGAGTTTTAGCTAGCAGCTATGAGCGTACCTGAACTACGCATGGACAAGACGTCAAAAACTCTTAACACAAAATACTTCAATAAACAGGACACTTCTTTATGCAAATACAATTTCACAGGGGTTGCTAATACCTATGATCCTTCAAGGGATGTGCTCAAAGAGGAGTTCAACATTATGAATAAAATATAGTGTTTTATTTTACAAATACCATTATAAACACAAACGTACGTCCTAATAAACATTATTTTAATAACGAAACTGCTAAATTCTTTCCAACAGTATAGATGTGTAGTGTATTTTGTTCGAGTGGGTTTGCCGTACTTTGACGTCATCGGCAGTCGAAGGACCCCGAGCCGATCTTGCACCCGAGCAGAACCTGTACCGACACCGGCTCGGCAGAGGGTGAACGAGCCGAGGCGACGTCGTGCTCTGCTTAAGAAGAGGTGTTATTTTCCCGCTTCAGAAGAAGCGTCCAACGTGTTTTTACGCTTTCTCCGTGACTTGTCACGTTGCTAAGTTGTTAGCGCCGCGTGCTAACACGTCAATAGTGCAGCGTAGCCTGCTGGAGGTTTTAAGGGTTCAGATGAAACACCCGACCTCTCAGGCTGCTCACACATCGATCTTAAGTTGTCGCTGTTGCGCTCACGCCGTAATACAGTATTAGATGCGGTTAAAGTCAGACACGAAAAAATAAATTTTACATGAATGAGTGATGCTTAGCCTGGTGGGGGGAGGAAACCCTGTCAAGATCGTCAACACTCGTTTATCTTAATGTTATTGAAACATGTAAACCAAAAAGCTTTATATCCACTGCTACCTTTCTAATTTTACACTTAGTAACTTATGCTGTAACTTCTCCCTGCCCTGCCTGATTCTCCTTGCTGCCCGCCGGCTGTGATCACAAGCGACAACATAGTAGTTCCCGCTGCTTCTTCGGGAAACGGCGCAAAAAAAAAAAACTTGGGATCTTGTAGGCGTGGCGGTGGGATTTCAGTCGTGGCGGCCCGCCACGGCTACGCCTATGTAAGGGAAACTCTGCACATCATCTGCAAAAAGCAGAAACTCAATCGTTAGGCCACTGAAACTGATCCCCTCAAAACCTTTGTTGCACCTAGAAATCCTGCCCATAAAAGTTATGAACAGAATCGGCAGGCAGCCTTGGTGGAGTCCAACTCTCACCGGACACAAGCCCTACTTACTGTCGGCAATGCGGACTAAAGATCTGATACCGGTCATACGGGGACCTAACAGCCCTTATCAAAGGGGCTGGTCCCCCATACTCGCGGAGTACCCCCCACAGGACCCTCCGAGGGATGCACTCGAAGGCTTTCTCCAAATCTACAAAACACATGTAGATTGGTTGGGCGAACTCCCACGCACCCTTCAGATCCCCCTAAGGGTATAGAGCTGGTCCAGTGTTCCACGGCCAGTACGAAAACCACATTGCTCCTCCTGAATCCGAGGTTCGACAATCAGATGGACCCTCCTTTCCAGAACCCCTGAATAGACCTTACCAGGGAGGCTCAGGAGTGTGATCCTCCTGTAGTTGGAACACACTCTGCTGTCCCCCTTTTGAAATAAGGGGAACCACCACCCCAGTCTGCCAGTCCAGTGGAACTGCCCCCGATGTCCATGCGATATTGCAGAGCCGCATCAGCCAACACAGCCCCACAACATTCAATTCAATTCCATTCAAAAATACTTTATTAATCCCAGAGGGAAACTGATTGCTGTAGTAGCTCAGAATAATAATAATAATCAAGTCATCAAAGAGTTGTTGTATATTACAACGGCTGTTGGCAGGAAGGATCTCCAGTAGCGGTCAGTGTTGCAGCCAAACTGAAGAAGCCTCTGACTGAAGACACTCTTCCGTTGTCGGACAGTCTTGTGAAGAGAATGCTCAGGGTTGTCCATCATTTTCTTGATTCTCTGGAGAATCCTTCTTTGCATCATCTCCTCCAGCGGTTCCAAAACTCTGGCTGAGTCCTTGAAAGGGCTTGGAGTTCCTCCATCTTGTTGGCCAGTGATCTCACATTGCCCATTATGATCGATGGAAGAGATGGTTTGAATTTCCTCTTCCTCTGTTTCTGTTTTGCTCCCGCTTTGCACCCACGCTTCTTGTGTTTTAGCTCATTTGGCATTTGTGGCTTCAGTTGAGGTATTATTTCAGCCTTTCCAATGTTAATCAGCTGCTCCCGATTGTAAACAGCTTGTTGCCATGGTTACGCATCATAACAAATGCTCAAAAAGTAAAAAAAAGCTAAAAAATTGCAGTAAAAATCCTCCAAGCTTCACAGCACCAGAAACAGAAAAGTAAAGTGTCCAAAAAAATACCGTTTTTCTTGAGAAACTAGAAGAAAAAATGCCCAAGAAAAGGCAAAACTTACATATAGTCAACAGAGCTACTCCAACATGCAGCCACCCAGAGCAGCGCAGTTCCGGAAAAATAAAAATTAAAACAAATGAAGCCTCCAGAGCCTTAAGGAACTCTGGGCGTATCTAATCCACCCCCGAGGCCTTTCCACAAAGGATTTATTTTTTGACCACCTCAGTGACATCAGCACCAGAGATTTGAGAACCCAGCTCAAAGTCCCCAGACTCTGCTTCCTCACTGGAAGACGTGCTGGTGGAATTGAGGAGGTCTTCGAAGTATTCCACCCACCGATCCACAATGTCCCGAGTAGAGGTCACCATCACCCCCGTAAACAGTGTTGGTAGCGCACCGTTTTCCCCTCCTGAGATGCCGGATGGTGGACCAGAATTTCTCAAAGCCATACGGAAGTCTTGCTCCATGGTCTCACAGAACACTTTCCATGCCCGGGTGCCTCCACAATCACCTGAGCCACATTCCGCTTGGACATCAGCTGCCTCTGGAGTCCCACAAAGAGAGCCAAAAAGACCCGATAGGACTCTTTCTTCAGCTTGACAGCATCCCTAACCGCCGGTGTGCACCAGTGGGTTCATGGGTTCAGTTCAATTTCAATGTATTTATTTATATGGCACCTTCTACCACCTTAGCGGAGGCCCAAGGTGCTGAACAGGACATAAATACCGGAGTAATAATAAAAACATATATTGAATAAAAATCAGTAAAAACAAACAGACGAATTAAAGCAATTAGAAACGACGCAATACAAATGATAAAAATATAGAAGCCAGTGTCCATGCTGGGGGAAAGCTCGCCGATAAAAGTGGGTTTTAAGGCGTGATTTAAAGTTTTGTGGAAGACTAGCAACACACACACACACACACACACACACACACACACACACACACACTACACACTACGCTACACACACACACACACTACACACTACGCTACACACACACACTACCCAGTATTAGTATTAGCAAACCCCTGACAGGCTGTGGTGAGCACCAGTGATGATGCAGGACAGTCCCAGGCCATCGTGCTTCTACTAAAGACAACAACAGAGGCTTGCTGTAGAGATTCACCCAAAGAAATCACTTGGTGATCAGTCAGTTTCCAGGAGGATCGGACATTTTACCTGTCGGTGCAAATTCATGCTAACAATAATAGATTTTCCATGTGAAGGATTGTACTTCCAGAATTCTGCTTTTGAAGTTAATGAGAAATAAAAAATAACATTCTGGTTTAGTTCATTTGAGAAAAATGAGCAGCAAGCTGTATTAATGTAACCCGTGAACCGTGTGTGCCTGCTACGTCTCCTCCTGTAGGTACTGCATCAGTCGGCCTCAGTACAAGACGTCTTGTGGAGTTTCCTCTCTGGTGTCTTGCTGGAACTTCTTGTACAGCACTCTGGGAGCCGGGAGGTGAGCCGCTCTCATTAAAGCTGTCCTCTAAAAGTGCAGCAGCTCGTAGAACACTAAAGCTGTTCCACACACTCGTTACATCACCTGAAGTTCGCTCTGCTAAAGATGATCAAGGTGTTTGCAGCTCCTCATCTAGCTATCTGTGGAAGTGAAACGTTGCACAACATTAAAACAGTCAGGTATTTGTGTGTGTGTGTGTGTGTGTATGTGGGGCGACGGTGGCACAGGAGTTAAGTGCTCTCCCCGTAATCGGAAGGTTGCTGGTTCGAGTCCCGCTCAGTCTGTCGTTGTGTCCTTGGGCAAGACACTTAACCCACGTTGCCTGCTGGTGGTGGTCGGAGGGACCGGTGGCGCCTGTGCTCGGCAGCCTCGCCTCTGTCAGTGCGCCCCAGGGCAGCTGTGGCTACATCGTAGCTCATCACCACCAGTGTGTGAATGTGTGAATGACTGATTGTGTTGTAAAGCGCCTTGGGGGGTTCCAGGACTCTAGAAGGTGCTATATCAAATACAGGCCATTTACCATGTGTGTGTTGCTAGTCTTCCACCCATCTCGCAGGAGGAAGCTCTGCACATTCTTGGCTTTCAACCACCTTTCGAAGAAATAAAGTTTGGTCCTTTCACTGGCAATGCCACTCTGATGAGGTACACACACACACCCCCCGTTTTACTCCTTTAAAACCGTATACGGACAGTCATTTATTACAAAACTGAGTCTGATTTCTTCCAGGTGGTTCAGACAAATCAACGACCATTTCCGAGTGCGAGGCTGCTCTTATATCCTCTACAAACCTCATGGAAAACACAAAACTGCAGGAGAAACGGGTGAGTCCGTCATCAGCTGAAACCCATGCCGCGCAGGCGGTGACCCCTCTGCTCTGCTTTTCAGCTGAAGGGTCTCTGATGAAGCTGACACAAGGGCTGAAGGATGAGTCCATGGCTTACATCTACCACTGTCAGAACCACTACTTCTGCCCGGTGGGCTTTGAGGCAACACCCCTGAAAGCTGCAAAGGCTTACAGGTAACTTGCTTCATGGAGGTTAAAGATTTTCTTTATTCTTGCTGCTTCAGGAGGCTCCTTGCAACCCCTCGGATACCAAGAGAACGCTTTCAGGTGTTTTCTTCATCTTAAAGCTGCAAATCTGCAAAATGAGCTAACTTCAACATTTTTTTCATGCCTCTTAACAACGTTCTGACGTAGTGTAGCTATAAATGAGTTGTGGAGATTTAAAAAGAAGAACTAAAAACCTCAGCCGATAACAGGGCTTGGTCCGAAACCGACGGTTAGACCATCTGGTTGGCTGTCTGACCAAAGCATCATTTATCTGGGTCCTCCGTTCATTACACTCACGTCTTGGTGTGAGAGGTTCTCTGCTCAATAATACCAGACAAGGAGAAACAGCCGGCTGCTACCACTTGAACTTTAGGACAAACTACTAGAGTTCCAGAAAGAAAACCACCATTTGACGTCACGGACGATAAGACATGCTTGGACCTAGAAACGGTGACTGGTGTTTAGCGTTGTCTCGTTTCCTCTGATAATGTGGGTTCCCATATCGGGGGCGTGGCCTGGGGCTGATGGTCGATGGGAGCCATTGTTCTAGTCAAACACTTGTTCATATTCCTCTCTCTTGTCTACAGAGGTGCTTTACCCACAAATGAGATGGAGTACTGGATCTTAATAGGAGAACCTAGTAGGAAACATCCTGCTATTCACTGTAAAAAGTAGGTTACTGTCTCATTTGATTTCATTTACATTTATTTACTTGCTGTTGTTGAGCTGCTTAAATGGAACGTTTGTGTCCAGGTGGCAGGACATTGTGACCGATCTCAACACGCAAAACCCAGAATACCTGGACATCCGCCACACCGAGCGGGGGCTTCAGCAGCGCAAAACCAAAAAGGTCCCTGAGCTCATGTTGGTTTCAAACAGGGTTTCTAACCCCCGGTCGTCACCTGACCTGCATGTTTCACGTGTCTCTACTCCAGCACACCCGATTTACATGTTTGCACTGCTTCCTCCAGTGCTGCAGAAAACTGTTCATCACTGGTCAGGTGTTAAGGTGTTGAGTCGGGTGTGTGGCAGCAGGGAAACGCTGGTGTTTGAAAGGGCGACGTGAAGAACATTTATTACAGGCGGTTGGTGAGGACCAGGGCTGGGAAACCTTGCCTTTAAGCTGCTGCTTTCAGGGTTTTACTAAACGATGTTTCTCACAGGTGGGCGGCAACCTGCACTGCATCATGGCCTTTCAGAGGGTCAACTGGCAGAAGCTGGGTCCCTGGGCGCTAAACTTGGAAAACCTGCGACATGACTTTCACCACCCTGGAACAGAGAGGGCCCACGGCAGCACAGCTGAGGGCTCGGAGGAGAGGACGCCGTCCAAGCGTCTGGGCCACCTCGGACGCTCCCAGAGTATGGGGAGTCAGAAGGACAGCAGCTGGAAACGGCTGTCCAACGCTACAGAGCACAGGCAGAGGAGCTCCCCCGACAGCGACCTGGAGGAAGATGTGATGGACTGAAACAGGTCGGTGTAGACAAACGGAGGACTTAAAACAGGACCTGACAGAAGGATTAGTCTGGTGTTCCTATAAAGTTTACTGTTAAAAAAAGGCCCACACTAAACACTAAAATGGCTCTTGGTTAGAAAATAAAGTTGTGTATCTCATCAAAGTTTCATTCCTTTAAAGGTGCACGATGTAAGAATGACATCCTGTGGTCAAATTTGGGTACTGCAGTCTGTTTCTAAAGCGGGTGACTCTGATTTCATGGTTGTTGCCAGTTATGGATCAGCACGGATTCGCCGGCCGGTGTTGATTTAAAATGCCGACAGCAGTATTAGCTGCTGCAGACTCAACAGCCCTGCTGTAAACAGCGACTACATCCCTCTTTAGATTTTTTTAAAGGAGAAACGCTGACCTGCACCCAGACAACTGAGAAAGACGTCTGTTCCTTTCAACATGATCAATGCATTAGACCGTTCTGTCATCATTTCTCTGTAAAATTATTACTTATTGTGCATTTCAAGAGTTGAGTTGTTCCACCTTTAACTCGCTTTTTAAAAGGATGCTTGGATTTGAAAAAAACAAATCACAAACGTGGCAGAATATTCTGTTTGGACTAATGTCACACGCTAGAATAAAAGTTGTGTTTTTCTAAATCATACAAACCATAAACACAAAGTATTTTATAAACAGTATAAAAATACACTTTCTTTTCAAATTTGTGGTATTTCTGCACGGTCCCTACTGGTGACCCAGTGGATGGCGGCTACTGGTTCGGAGGTGTGTTTTTGTGTAAAAGTGATTAAATAATCCTGACCATTTTAGATGTCTAGCTGAATTGCCTCTGCTCAGAGAAATAGTTCATATCCTTAACTCGTTCACTGCCATTGTCGAAAAAGTCGTCATTTTAAATCCAACCGCTTGCTACCATTGACCACTAAAGTTGTCATTTGCATCTTTTTACTGGGCGTGCGTGGAAACGACCCCCCCCCCCCGCACCACGAGAACAAACATCCCAGCTCTAAAGCCGATCTTCATCCGCGTATGTCACATTTCACGTGACCAGGAAGCAGAAAATCCGTGTGTTAGGAGGTTGTTTTGGGCCGCTGCTGTGGGAAAAGTGTAGCCTGGCAAGCCAGACTATATATGTGAATGTTCGTGTTTTAAAGAAAAGCCCAAGTCTAAATCGTCCGATGTTGATGACAAAGCCGTTTCAAAAACGTGGTTCCCGAGCTGCCGCCATGTTGGATGTGTTCGCGGTCGCAGTTCTGACGTCTTCAGCTACTACCGCTGATTAGAGCACTGTGATTAGCCACAATATAACGCGCTAGGATTGGCCTACAATATACGCTGTGATTGGCCCAAAAAATAGAGAGCTGTGATTGGCCCAACAACAGCAACTAAAGAGAGCTGTGATTGGCTAGCCAGACTGCTGGTAGGAGCTGCAGAGGTTCTAATGGAGCATTCCTAGACCAAACTTTGCAAAGCAAGAATTTGGTCTAGTTCACTAGGCTAGGAAAAGTGAAGTGCAAACCGGAAAAGCTTCTGCTGCTCACCATGCAACAACAGCTTATGAAGGAACAGATAACGCTAGAAACACGCAGATCCTTCCCGATGTAAGAAGTGAGTGTACTCTTTGTTTTGGTGCTGACATCATAGAGCACAACGTTCTGTGACTCTTCCAAAAAACAGTAAAAACACCCAAAAACCGCTGACAGCGAGAGGCTTTTCTGACCAGGAAACGGCCCGCAGTTAATGAGTTAAAGAACGATGAGGTAACTGCTAATCTCAACACCTTTATGACCAACATGAGTTGCTGCCAACCTTAAACAGCTCAGGTTTCCAACATTCTTCAATGATATTATTATATAAAACTTTCATTAATATTTCATTATCACTCTGCACTTATTTACATGGAATGCTATTTTTATTTACGAGCAAAAAAATCTGCAGCAACTTGTAACACTGGTTGCATCAGTAGTCAAGTCCAGCTGTTTTAATGTACATCGGCTAGAATAACTGCACACGGAGAAGTTGTTATGTTGAAGGTTCAACATGTAAGAATTTTACAGTGAAAGACGATCCGTCCCGCCTCCATATTCCCCGTTTCTACCTGTGAGCATGCAAAGTTGCCAAGTCTTCAACACAAACACTACTGCGTCGATTTTTGTAATTAGACATCGGCCGACAAAAAGCAGCAGCGTTGTGGACAGCATGTTGGCCGGTAAACAGGAGCGACCCAGAAGATTTTTCTTGTACCCCTAAGAAGCCACAGCATCTTTTGCTCTGATGACAGGTAAAGAAGGGTAGAGCCTAACGCCGGGGACACACCGGCTGCGGAAGCGCCGCGAAAATGGGACCGCCTTCATTCGGCGCCCTTGTTAAGCTATTTTATAGACCACATGGGCCACCGAAGCGCCGCGAATCGCCTCGCGCCGTGCAGCGATCATTTCGGCGTCGGCTCTATTTTTTTCGCGAGCCGCGGGTGAATCGCGTCAATTCTGGCAGGAAGTCAAACCTAGACATAAGAGGCAGGCCGGTAAATTTAACAAAGTAAAGCATTTCAAAATAAAATTCCACAATAGTCAAATGTGTTCGTAATCAGACACTGCAGAAAAACCACATGAACACACACACACACATCAAACTTGTGTGCGTGTGTGACCATGTGAAGGGATGTGTGGTTTTGGGTGTCTTTTCACCGGAGCAAACAGGACAGAGAGGCAGAAAGTCTGAGGCAAGCAGTTAAGATGGATGACTTTAATTAATTATGGAAGTTGAGAAACACGAGGAGCTGTACGACCCCCGAAAAACACCGTTATTTATACGTACCCATGTCGGAAGAAACTGCTAGGGTACAGCTGCAGAACTGGAGCGGGTTCCAAGAGATTCAACTGGCAGAAACAACTCATACCATAGGTTCACACACACACACACACACACACACACACACACACACAGAATGGAGAGGGTGTGTGTGTGTGTGTGTGTGCATCACATCCAGCATAGTTCTGCCTCAAACACACGTTTAACCATATTCTCAGTTTGATGGTGAAAAGCCTCCATTGTTGCCTGTGCAGGAACCAGGAAGTGAGCTTGTTCCGCTCACCCTGGTTCGCTCGGTGGAAATGCCGTCCAGTCCAAGTGTTGTGAAAGCAGCTGGTGTTTTCTTGTGCTTTGCCAGTCCTCCAGTAACAGTTGTGCTCTTTATCCGTCTCTGGAAAGCTGGAAGCTGTACGGGCTTCTCTGAAAATGGAACAAACATGGTTTATTTCCATGTCTAGATGTTTGTTTGCACCTCTGTAGACCCGTTTGTGTTTGACCCAACACAGATGTGACTCTGCAGAACTTCTCAAATGGGTTTGTTGTAGTTGTTCATTATTTTACAATAAATGCAGTTTTAATAGAAACGCTGAGAACTGACGGTCATTTTTGTTTTTCTTGCTTTTATTTTTATAGCTCAGTCTGGTTCCAGTTCAGTCACACTCCAGATAATGGATGAACTGGGTTAGCAGCCAGTGGTTAAAACTTGGGAATCGTCACAAATGTGATCTAAAGGGATTGGATGGAAACATGTCCATCAAGCATTTAAGGTGTGGTTCACTGATAACTCATTTTTAAATGATTATTTCTGATTATAATTGCTCACTCTGAGTTTTTCATGCAGGCTGAACATGAAAATAATATCCTACATCTACCTCCTGCGTTAGCTTTTGGTAGAAAATAGACGGTCAAACTCTAGAATTAAAAACTCCTGACAGATCTACGTCACACATTCATGGACTCACCCATTTTGACTTGTGACGGGGAAGGCTGCTGTTTATCGTCCAGTAAACCGCAGAGAATGTCTCGACTGGTAGAAGCTAGCTGTTAGCATTAGCAACATCACCACACAGCAGAAGCTCCTCCAGACTTTTTGTGGAGATAAAACATCCGTGTTACAAGTCGTGCTGTTATCCAATCCAGAGCGAGATGTCCAAATATCAGGAAGTCCAAAACCTGCCGCCTGAAGCTCAGCTGTGATGTGGGCAACTTTTAGGTCTAAAAAATGGTGCACCGCTAGATTTGACATTTGACTTGAAAGAGAAGGCTCAGCCCAGTTGCATTATCGAACGCTGAATTCTGAGGGAAACTGGTGTTGAAATGGTGATGTTTATTTTTAAATCTTTGGTTTAAAGCAAAACTTCTACTGATGGCTGCACTCCTGTGATGATTTAGTGTTATTACGCAAGCTATGTTCAAAATTCACGTTTTATTTTCATCTGTTTTTGTTAAAAAATTTTCATTCAGTAAATAAATCTCTAAACAATTACCTTTTGGTTTTTAAAAGATAACTGTGACTTAGAGTGACTTAAGTGGTTGAAGGAATCAGCAACAGCTGGACCACGAACATGCCAACACACTAAATCTCTTCCTCATCTTCTTTGATCCGTGGAAGCTGCGTCTGTTGGACACGTTTCCCTCTGGTGGCAATTCAGTAACATTACAATAACAAACTTTTCCGATGCTTACGTTATCTGCAGAAAGAAATAAAACATTCCTTATAGGAAGCCTCCTCCCATTCCCATCGGCTCCTCGGAACACAGAGAAATATAAGCGAACGGGTGTAGACGTTATTTTCTACTCTGCCTTATGCCATGAATCACACACATGTTGTACTTCAGTTTACATGAGCAGCAATGATGTGAGTTCTGACTGTGTCATGTATTTGCGTAGGTTGTAAAAATGTGTAAATAAGACTGCAAACCAGATGTCACGTATGACGCCTCAGCAGTCTCTTCTCCCCCAGTGTGGCTGCCACGAACCACAGACACATTTATAGTGGTTTTCTCCTTGTTTGATGCTTCTTTTGTCCTGCAAGAAGGATTCAAAGCTCTCTAAACTCTTCTTCACGTCTGGTCTGATGACGTCAATTTGGTAAGACGAGTATTTGTACTCCTACACGTGTTCACACACACACACACACACACACACACACTTTTATCCAATGCTGAACACTCAATGATTCAATATTAAGACTAAGACAGGGAACTTCATGAGTGGTGAAAAGAAAGAATGGAAGTAGTTTAAGGACACGTCAGTAACACAACGCTTTCCTTTATTAAACTTCTTATGAACGAGTTTGAAATCGCTCTGGACATGACGAGGTGCTCCAGCTCAGTTTCAGCTTTAGTTTATAGCAACGTGCTGCAAAGATGTCCCGACATAAGCATGGTTTAACTGTGTGTGTGTGTGTGTGTGTGTGTGTGTGTGTGTGTGTGTGTGTGTGTGTGTGTGTGTGTGTGTGTGTGTGTGTGTGTGTGTGTGATGATGTTCAGGTTCCTTTTAACTGTTGTCTTAACACAGCAATTTGAGCAGGACCAACACGGCAGCATCCACCTGTAGGACACAAACACAGCCGAGAAACAATCCTATAAACCCTGAGATGAATGAATGAATGAATGAATGAATGAGAAAACCACTGGTTTTACCTATCAGAGCGACACCCTGCTTCACCCAGGTAAGACTCAGATCAGGTGTCCATCCTGGAACATCTCCAGATGTTTGCCACCTTTTTATGGGAATAAAACCCAAACAGTTGTTTGAAACATCCTTGAGAGACACATTTGTACAACAGTCACATAAAAGTAACTTGTCTGAAATGCAGATGAGCCAAAAATCTTGATTAGGGCTGACGTTAGACCTGTTATAATGTTTTTGCCTGTGTGCGGTTGCAAAATCTACCATGAACCATTGGATAGATTTGAATGAAATTCTCAGAAAACAAACACTGGATTTCTAACTGATTAACTAAAAACCCAGTTTGTGACCACAGCCACAGACTCACCCCCTTTCAGTGTGCCACCTCTCCCCGCTGTTGGGGTACACTACCCAGCTCTTATCCGGGCTCAGCAGGGATCTAGCAGAGTCCAGCAGCGGTTCCACCACCGCTGGAGGACAGCAGTTGACTCCTACAGCAAGCAGCTGAGACGACCTGCAGGCGACCTGCACGGCCTCTGAGAATAGGCTGCCGTCTGACACGTGCTTCTCATCCTGATGGGAGATTCACCACACAACAAGTCCTTTTGCGTCTGAAAGTTTAGTCCTTTTCTGTTTGACTTTACAAGCTGTGGTTACCTTACAGGACAAAGAGAGCCAGGCGTTAGAGTTTGGGAACTCTCTCAGCAGCTCCACCACAGCCTCTGCCTCTTTGATGCTCGGGATTGTCTCAAAGGCGATGAGATCAGCTCCGGCTGCAGCTAAACCGTCGACCTGCGGTCGATGCCACGATTTAAGCTCCTAAAAGGAAAACCAGACACATCAACTGCCATTTTTGTCCTGCGGTTTTATGTTTTCTGACACAGCGATCAACGTTCGAGAAAAGTCCGACTCTGTGACGGAGTCAGATGGGATCCACTCACTTCAACACTCATCTCCTCTGCATAAGCTCCAGTGTACTCTGAGCCATTGTGAAGAAAGGCCCCATACGGTCCAACAGAACCTGCTACTAAAGGATGCCTCTCTCCTTTAAATGAGACAGACGAACACAACTTACACACGAATCAACAGCTCAGCGCAGATTGTAAAGTGATTTTTTTATACCAGAAGCAAAACTCTCAGCTGTTTCTTTAGCCAGATTAACTCCTGACATCAGCAGCTCTCTGGCACAGTCGGAGCTCACATTCAGGTGGCAGACAAATCCCTGGATGCTCGCCTGGTATGTGGCTGTTGTGATGACATCAGCACCGCTGAGGAGAAACCTGCGCTTGTGCACAAGCAACCATTCATCACGAGAAATAATAAAATAAAATAAAAACACTGCAATAAAATTTAGGATTTAAAACTGCATTTTTAAAAATCTAATTGGAAATCAAAAGGTTTATTCTAGTGTGTTTTTGTTCAAATATTCACATTAATGTTACAACACTTGGATGCCTCATGCAAGAAGCCTGTGATCAAAAATGGATATTAAAAATGGGAAAAAACTATTTTTAACCGCCTTCAAGTTTTGGATGACCCCACCTGTAATGAGCATCTTTAATGGCCTGAGGATTGGTGTGCAGAAGCCTGGCGCTCCACAGAGGATCTCCCTACACACACACACACACACACACACACACACACACACATTTAGTTTAGCTTACAAAATCTACATGTTTTGATATCTGAAAAATACTGATTTTAAACGGAAAATTGTTGGCTGCCATGAAACATTTAAAAGTGACAAAAAGGCAAAAACAGGTGAATACTTTTTACAGCCCTGTAAATATCTGCAGAAGAATAAATGTTTCTGATAACAAGTCTTACGTCACAAAACTATTAGAAATATGTAACCTTAAAACTGTTGACCAGATAAAAATGACCTAATCAGGATCACAACATAAAGGGCACTAAGTTGTTTATATTACCTAGTTTGTCTAATATGAGTCTGACCAGTGCAAAAGATAAAGACTACTAATGATAGGCCACAGGTACAGCACAGATTTAAAAATGTGGGTTGTTTTGTTTTTAGCCTTTTCTTGGGCATTTTTTCTTCTAGTTTCTCAAGAAAAACTGTATTTTTTGGACACTTTACTTTCCTGTTTCTGGTGCTGTGAAGCTTGGAGGATTTTTACTGCAATTTTTTAGCTTTTTTCACTTTTTGAGCATTTGTTATGATGCGTAACCATGGCAACAATCTGTTTACAATCGGGAGCAGCTGATTGACATTGGAAAGGCTGAAATAATACCTCAACTGAAGCCACAAATGCCAAATGAGCTAAAACGCAAGAAGCGTGGGTGCAAAGCGGGAGCAAAACGGAGACAGAGAAAGAGGAAATTCAAACCATCTCTTCCATCGATCATAATGGGCGATGTGAGATCACTGGCCAACAAGATGGAGGAACTCCAAGCCCTTTCAAGGACTCAGCCAGAGTTTCGGAACCGCTGGAGGAGATGATGCAAAGAAGGATTCTCCAGAGAATCAAGAAAATGATGGACAACCCTGAGCATTCTCTTCACAAGACTGTCCGACAACGGAAGAGTGTCTTCAGTCAGAGTCTTCTTCAGTTTGGCTGCAACACTGACCGCTACTGGAGATCCTTCCTGCCAACAGCCATTGTAATATACAACAACTCTTTGATGACTTGATTATTATTATTATTCTGAGCTACTACAGCAATCAGTTTCCCTCTGGGATTAATAAAGTATTTCTGAATTGAATTGAATTTATTTTCACCTGAAGTTTGGCTCCTTGTGCTTCCAGTTCAGTAGCTAGTCCTCCATCCAGGATCACCGGCCTGTTATCGTGTATGAACTGTCTAAGACGAGCAGCAGAACCCATTAATTAGCAAAACAATTGTTCAAGTCGAGAGAGTAGAAAGTACCCAAACGAGGTACTGTGTTGTTTTTCCGGGTAATCTAAAGGTCAACTGTTGCGTTTGGGTACCGTCAGAATACTTGATAACTAAACGCTTCATTGATTTTACAAGTCACCGCAAGATGGCGCGTTTGACAACGAAATACAGCGGAGACAGGCCATGTGTACATTTGTATTGCATTTTAATTCTTGTAACATCTTAAATATCTTAAATGTTTTCATAAAAATACACGATACACTTTCAAGCCACATTTTTCACTGTAATGCAATGTGAGTCAGCAAATATTGTGTATGTCTGTAAGTACATGGTGTAATATTTTAACCTTTTTACTCTCATTAAACGTTTGAGACTACTATAACCTTAAGTACGTGACGTGATTAGATAAATAAACGTAAAACTGAAATTTACTACCGCTCAAGTTTGCGTGAACGTAACACCATTTTCGGTACAGTTGCTATAGAAACAACTTATAGTTAGCAACGGCTAACCTGTGGACATATTTGTTCGTAACGGTGCTTATAGAGTTTGCTGGTCTTGTGAAATCGTCCATATGGTAAGTTAAAAGTCCCCGCTTTCATAAAAGATACATAAATACTCATGATAGTCTAGATTTCACGTTTGAGTGTGAACACATCTAACGAGAAGTGGTTAGCTTTAGCTTAGCAGCGACTGTTTACATAGTTTCAGATTTTCATGACTCTGGGGTGAACTTATGGGTTAGGGCTTGTATTTATGTCAAGTTTTTATTGACGAGGTTAAAAGCGACTTCAGACAGTTAACTGCTGTTATGGGTTTGTAAACCTGGTTCAGTGTAATTTTATTTATCCGTTTCAGTTCAACTGTAATGAGTTCAGAGCTGTTTCTCGCTAACATAGGATCCTGCGACCACCAGGGGGTGATTGCGGTGGGTGTCTCCTGTAATGATCTGTGTTGCAGTGGACGTAAAGAGCCCTCTGACTGAAGACAGTGTTGTTGAATTATTGTCCAGTGAAAACGATTCTCTGAGTTGTCCATCTCATTTTTCATTTCATAGAAAATTCACCTTTGTACCGTATCACCTCTTGAGGCTCCAGATCAGAGTTTCAGTCTGTCAGTTTTGGTTGTTCATGTATCAGTGACTAGTGGGTTAGGGAACCACTATAATGTCTTCATATCAATTTAAATGCTTGTCAAGCTTTTTAAAAATATGTTTATCTTACTCATTTTATTTTTTTTAGGAAGATCGATATGCTTTCCTTGCCGAATGGTTTGATCAGCATGCATCTCTCCTGCGACGCTTCCTTCTGTTCTTCTACATTACAGATGGCTCCGTGGAAATGGTTTGCTTTTGCTGCAGCAGTTATGACATAAGACTTTACTGTTTGTCAGTATATTCTAGGTGCAACTTAAAGAGCAAGTCACCCCCAAATCACTTTTTTTTTTTTTTTTTGCTGATAAACTATATAAAGGAGTGTCTAATCATGCTGCAGACACATGTAGTCAATAATTTGGCAGTTCAGTGCATCTTGGTTAAAATTCAAATATTCTGCCTAAAACTGTCAGTGTTGTGCCATCATCACGGAAAGATTCTGCACTGTATTTGAATCTAAATCTGCCACCGCTATTGGCTAAGAGGTATGCTATGATGTCATCTGGTATATCATGATGTCGTAATGCCATTGTGAGCCTGTGTGTGTGTGTGTGTGTGTGTGTGTGTGTGTGTGTGTATTTGTTAGCGGCTCCGCCCTCTCGGTCTGCCAAGCAACAGCATTTGTTGCATTTTTCAAACATGAAGTGGGAGTGAAGTAAGTTTGTTGTAGGGGGTGACTTGCTCTTTAACGATGACACAAACAGCACTGGAACAGATTACAAACACATTTACTTTGTAAACTCTTTGTTTTGTTATGAATAATTCCTTTGTTTGTTTAATTTGTAGTATGATTTGAAGAATCGAAAGAAATATTTGAAGAGGACCAAATGTGACAGCGTCAATCAGGAAGATTTATTCGTGGGGAATCGACTCAATATCTTCTCTCGGCAGCTACATTTAGTAGATTATGGAGATCAGTTCACGGCAAACAAACTTGGCAGCGAAAAGGAAAGGTATGATTAGTTGGGCCGAGCAGTAAGTCTTTGTTATCCCGTCTAATTTCTGCACATACTGTACCTCGTAGACGTGAGCTGCGTCATATTCAGTCAGAAAGTAGAACTCAGAGACACCATGCACTCATTTATTGTCGTCGTATTTTTCTGTAATTTATAATGTAAAGATACAACTTTTGCTTGTTTAAGTTATTTGATTTACTTTTTAAGCTGATTATAACTTTTGAGTCAGACTTAAAAAAACTTAATATTTTTTTATTTAGAAGATCAAATTTGTTTTTAGAAAGTGCAACAGCTAATCCTTGAGATAACACATGTCACATGTGAGTAAGTCTGTAGCAGACTGAATGAACTTGAAGTGTTTGGGGTGCGCATGCATGTGAAGGTCACACAGATCACTTTGCTTGTCTGCAGGTCCAAGAAACTAGAATTTTACCAGGAAAAGTGCTGAGGCATGAAAGGTTTAAAACCTATTAATATGCTTCATGTGTTTCTGGAATGATGGAGGTTTAAAATCAACCAGCTTTTTCCTGGAGTTGCCTATTTAAAAAGAGCAGCAGTAGAAGGCACCTTGAAGGAAGGAGGCTAATAAAACAGGACATTTTCTGAACAAGTGTCAATAAGACTAAAGGCTTTTGTGAAAAGAATAAAGATTTAATTCCTGTTATTCAAAACTCCAAATTCAAAGGTTAATAAAAGCTACTCGTCACCTGCTTACCAACCAACAGATGGGACTCGGGAGAGCAGTTTGGATTGGAAGCAGAGACTGATGGTTGTTTCAGAACCACAGCCTACGTGGAACAAACCTGGAAACAGTGTGTGCTGAAGATGCCCGTGATGTTTTATAACCATTTTGCATCTTTTTTCCAGGACTCTTGCTTTGATAAAACCAGATATGGTCAGTAAGATCGGAGACATCCTGGAGTTGATAAATGCCTCCAAGCTAATGGTGACCAAAGCAAAAATGACCAAGCTCACATGGTAAGGTTGCCGTATGCTTAGTGTCTGTCTAATGAAGATTTGCATTTATTAGTTTTATTAAATGCTTGATCATAATGTCATCAAATGGAAACAGTTTACCCGCCACTTTTCATCATCTGAATGTTTTATACTAAGATTAACTGATGAACTGTTTTGGTTTAATCCTCGTTTTAGTCAGAGTTGTAGTTGTTGTGCTGGCTACGATCACCTGCAGCCTTCCTGAGTTATATCGACTCCAAAAGCTCCAGATGTGCATCCAGTGTTTAGTTTCCAAGAGGTTTTTGAAATTATTTTAACGTATGATAAGATCGTAGACACATGCATACTCACTCAGGCGGGGGTTTTCCGGGCTCAGTCTGAGGCAGAGGTGGTACCATCCTGACCGTGCGCCAGCACATGCACACTCTGTGCATTCAACTGCCTCGCTTTTTAAAAGACTGAATATGTTTTCGTTAAGTGTTCTAATCTAAGCTTCTGTTGATTAATAGAATATTCCATTTGACAACTTTTCAAGTGAAACAAAACTGGTTTGCTGCTAAAAAATATGAAATTAAACAACAAAATGATCAGGCTGAAATAACAGACTCTTTGGGGCAGCAGTAGCTCAGGTGGTAGAGCGGGTTGCCTCATGATCGTAAGGTCACGGGTTCGACTCCAGCTCCCGCCAGGGGTATCCCCGCCAGGGGTATCCTGCTGTTGTGTCCTTGGGCAAGACACTTCACCCAACTTGCCTGTGTTAGTGGTGGTCAGAGGGGCCGACGGCGCCAAATGGCAGCCTCGCCTCTGTCAGACCTCCCCAGGGCGGCTGTGGCTACAAGTAGCTTACCATCACTAGCAGTGTGTGAATGTGAGAGTGTGTGAAAGCGTCTTTGGGTGTCTAGACAAGTGCTATATAAGTTCAATGTATTATTATTACTATTATTATTATAAAAGGCTCAATAATATGCGTTAGATTGGTGTTTTGTTCCCTTTTTCCCATCTGATATTTATAGTTAAAAATACTTTAAAATATTTTACCTACGTTTCAGTAACATTTTAGGTTCGTATTGTTAACACTCATCTTAGTCAAAAACACAGATATATCCAGTAAACTATAATGCATTTCATTAACATGCATTTGTGTTGGAAACGGTAATAACATTTAATTTCTGCTGCTAACAGTGTAACGGTGGCATGTCTGTTACGTACAGGTTGGCAATCATCCAGTTCATATTATGTTCAAAGAGAGAAGCGTTTGTGAATTATATACTACAACGGCTTGCCTTATACTTGTAGCAGTAATGTGACGTATCTGCAGCGGTTCTGGTTCTGGTTCTGATCCGTAGCGCTGCAGGATGCAGAGTAAACAGGATGGTGGGGACTTTACGCTTGTAGGGTTTAGTCTTTCTTTAGTTTTATCATCATCACGTGTTTTTCTGTGCGCCACGTGATCGTGAGACTGCTACCCGTTAGCTTTAGCATTAGCCAATCTGCATGTAGCTGCACTGATCCCAGACTTTGGCCCGGTTCTGGTTCTGCCTCTGCTGGTTCCTTCATTTCCTCCACTGCATCCAGATGACCAAAGTTAGCTGGAAGCGGCCGCCACGCAAATGTGAAACTCTGCACTCACTTATTTCTCACTTTATAACAAACAAACAACAAAAACAACTCATCAGCTCAAGGAACTTTTTTTTTGCACACTTTAACTTGTTTTTAGGATATTCCTAAAATTAGCTAAAGTCTGCAGTTTTTCTGAGGAACTGAACTTGGTGTTTTTCACAAATGAAACATAAAAGTGTAAAATAGGCTCAAAGCACACGTTTGTTCATATGTAACCTACAGGTTCCTCAACCCCACTGACTGCAGAACCTGTTTTGTAGAAACTAATGCTGTAATTGTTCTGTGTTGTTGGGTTTGAGACATGCATTTATTTTATTTTACTTCTCATGTAGAAGCAGAAGCTGTGTAAAAACCCATTTCAGTCCCCAAAACGACTAAAACAGTCTGACTGAGTTCGGGGACCACTAATCCTTCAGGTCTGTTTCATGGTTAACTTTCTATAGGAGCTCATTGGTTCTTGATTTTGAACAAGCACCAATTTTGACTAAAATTTTCAACTTTTTCATATAAATACTTTCTGTTTTGCCTTTTCATTCTCTGTATTAAAACATCAGTTCTCCAGTATGGAATATTTTGTGTAGGTCTATCACAGAAAATTCCCAAATACATCCTTTTAATTACATGTTGTGGAAAACTCCCCTCACATGACTGTGGCCTCTGCTCTGTAAATGTCTTCAGTAGTTTATTGTTTGCATCATTCACTTCTTTGTCTTCCTCTTCACTGGTCTTTAAAAAGTCTCTTCAAACCAACATTATTATTATTATTATTATTAAAAATGAAAATAGCACATAATTCAATAAAAAATGTCTTTCTTAGTAAAAGAGGTTCTGGTTTCTTTCATGAAACATCTCAAAAATCTGTAAAATGCTTTCGTGGGACTGCCGTAGCTCAGAAGGTAGAGCGGGTTTGTTGGAAGGTTGCAGGTTCGATCCCGGCTTCAGACAGAGAATGCTGCTGGTGTGGCGCCTGTGCTTGGCCTCGCCTCTGTCAGTGCGCCCCAGGGCAGCTGTGGCTACATCGTAGCTCATCCCCACCAGTGTGTGAATGGGTGAATGACTGATTGTGTTGTGAAGTGCCTTGGGAGGTTGTAGAACCCTACCATGTTACCATTTCAATAGCAAATCTGGGAAAAACAATCCATAACTTTGTCTCATCGCGTTTCTTTTTGCTAGTCTGAACAAATCACCCCTCTCATGCCTTCAAGCCATTCAGAAGCAGAAGCCAGATTCTTAGTGGGCATTTACCTGTCGATAGGGGGCAGTAGATACCTAAGTCATTGCAAGCAAGCAATATTTTTGTGTTGGAGTAAGACCTTACCAAGGGATGCCCGTTAGGGTCAAAAAGCCCTGGGGAGCACATCAGACTCCCTTTCATCACTGGCAACTAGTAAAGAAGTGATCCTGTAAAACAACATGTATTTTGTCCTCATGGGCTGCTGTAGAAGGAAGCATGGCATCTAATATGGCGTCGCCCAGAGACTTAGACTCGCTCCCATTTATTTTAAAGCAAATTTTTATGGTTATATCTTACAAAGTCGCCAATATTTTTCATCAGCTGGGCATCATTTCATTCATTTTGGATGGATATTTCCAGAAATGACTGGTAAAAACTACACATTGTCTCTTTAACAAAATCCAACAGGCAGACTCACCTCACACTCTCTCCCTGTAGATGATAGAATCTGCTTTAAGGTGCATGTGCTCACCTACAGAGCTCTGAACGGCCAGGCACCTGACCACCTACCCCAGCTTTTATCCCCACGGCCTCGCATGTCGCAGAACCTGCTGTTCCACACACTGGAGCGAGAACCAAGAGGCTCCCACACTGGACCAGCTTTCTGTCCAAACTCAGGCTGGAGAGGCTTTCATAAAAACATTTGACAACCAACCTGTTCAACCAGGCCTCCCTCTGTTAAACCTTTGCTGTTATTTTTTCTCTTCTGTCACGTTCTCCCTGATCACGATGGATCTGACTGTGATGTATATTTTTCCCTTTTTTATAATTTCAGCTTTATTTGGATACACAATGTCCCGTCCAGTTGTGCAGCGCTTTGTGCTAATCTTGTCTGTGAACGGCGCTCTGGAAAATACTTTTGAGTTATTACTAAAATGTTCTTTTTTCTGCTGTTATTGTTTTTTCCAAAGCAAATCACCGCTATCACTAAACTCTGTTAATAACAGTCATCTGGCCAACAGACATGTGAGAAGTGCTGCATCATTTGGTCACCCATTGACTTTGGTGGATGGTTTTGTTGCTTTACAGGAGCCAAGCGGAAGACTTTTACGTGGAACATCAGTCAAAGCCTTTCTTCAGGTGAGTGCTCGTGTAAATGATCTCCCAGTTCTGAGCAGAGAAGGGTTGTGATTGCCATCTAGCACTCCGACCACAACCTGTGGTGGTGACATTTTAGAGTTTTTTAAATTCAAATCAGCTCCAACGTGACTCTGTTTTGCAGTGCGCTGGTGCACTTCATGTCCTCTGGCCCAGTGGTTGCCATGGAGCTGGTGGGTGACAAGGCCCTGTCGATCTGGAGGGAGCTCCTGGGACCTGCAGACTCTGCTGTGGCGTTAACAGAGGCGCCACAGAGCATCCGTGCACAGTTTGGAACAGACGCCATCAAAAATGTGGCCCATGGCTCTGACTCCATAGCTGTAGCAGCAAGAGTGAGGATTTTGACTTTGTTCTTGCTCTCTTGTGCCTTCAGTAGTCTGAGAATCGCACTTCCTGGAACGGTCATGATCATTAAAGTTTGTGTGTTTGTTTTTGTAAGGAGCTGGAATTCTTTTTTCCTTCCACGGTCGGCCATGGCCCCTCCAACACAGCCCTGTTCACAGACTGCACATGTTGTATCATCAAACCCCACGCTGTATCAGCAGGTAAGGAGTCACTCAGGCATGGCAAAATATCTCACTTTTATTTGTATTTTGTTATTCTGAGTTCCTGTGCTGCTGGCTTGTCCCCCCCCCCCCCCCCAACAAAGCCACCATGTGGTTTCCAAAATGGCCTTGGATTTTTCCAAATCCCAGTGCTGATCCCTGCTCCCGGGGCATGCCACCAGAGCTCTGAGCTGTGAAATGTGAAATTCTGTGCAGAGCTGATGTTTGCACACAGAAAGCTGTTGACTGGAGGTGGACCCCAGCTTTTGTTCTGCACTTACAGCAGAGAACATACAGTAATAACTACAGATCCACTAATATCTTGTTGTATCTTGAGTTTCATCATTTCTCTGGTATCTGACTGTCTTTATGTTTCAGTTTGAGCCAGCGTGACATTATATTGCACATACATGTATAAATTCATGTACCCTTGCATTTACGATGGGAACGCTCTCAATGGTCCCTGAAATAAACTTAAAGGGGTTTTCCACCCTAAGTGAAATTTTGTTTATTGCTGTATTCCCCAGAGTCAGAAAAGTCAGAAAAAAACGACAAAATGATTCATTATAAAGGTTTTGTGAAAGCAAGGCTTATTTCCGTCCACTGCCTCTGGGCGATAATAAAGCCATGGTGTATCTGTGCACCGCTGCTCTCTGGCCTGCCTTCATGCTGCACCTAAACAGAACAGATCGCCCACTTTTGTTATTTCTGCAGTTACAGCCACGCTTAGCCTGCTAGGGCACGTTCAAATCTTTGGCTTGAGAAAGGAGGCGGTGAGAGAGAATACAAGTGGGCATGCTTTGTTTGTCTGCAAGGCATCGTTGAGCAACAGTTAAGCTTGCAACGAGCCGCGGTGATAAACCAGCTCGGTCCGAACGCATGGATTTAAACATTTGCTCAGTGAATACCGGTGGTTGTTGGCTGTGTTAATCATTCCTGACAGGTCACAGTGATAGTGCTCTGTGCTCGTATATAAACTTTTATCAAACCCCGGCGTTTTCAAATGAAGGTTTCCTTCATTAGGGGGTCCAAATAAATTTAAAAAAAGTAGTTTTATGTGGAACAATAATTGCTCCCCATGTTAAGTCCTGATTTATTTGTGATTAAACATATTTGTAGAGCTGGGGTGAGTTTCACCAGCCACACCCAGGCCTGCTTACTGCCACTAACTTCAACAGAACCTGTCCAACAACATGAAGTAGGCTAAAAGATCTCCATGCTCTGGTCTAAAGAACCCAACATCACCAAAGCACTGCAGACCTCATTAAGGTCAGAGGTCATGAATCAACCATGGCGACAGAGAGGTTCTACTGACCGTAATAATCCATAAGACTCATCTCACATTACATTTAGTGTAAAACTAACACTTCATTTCAGTGAAGTATCCTCATTCCAACAGTGAAGCATGGTGATGGTGGTATGATGGTCTGGGGCAGTTTTGCTGCTGCAGGACCTGGGCCACTTCCTGTAAATGATGGAACCATGAACGCTGATCCGTAGCAGAACATATCTTAAACAATGTCTCGCTTAAGCTGATGTGTTTGATGTGCTACAAGAAGTTTGGCGCTTCTTAAAACAGTTCAGTTAAAACGAATCAGTTATCTCTCAGAAAGTGTGGCATTGTTAAAACTTCAAAGCTCCTACTCAGGCGTCAGTTTCACTGCTAGAAGTGACTCCCACAGTGTTTACCTTCAGAGCCGTGATATATTTGGTCCGAGCCAAGAATAGAAACCAGGCTGAATGATTTGTCCAGCTGAGGTCGACAAAAAGCTCTGCTCTGATCTCCCCTCAGAAATCTCTTCAGTAGCTCATTTATGTCGTCAAGACGGCCTGTCACCGTGGCCATGAAGGACGCTGTGAGTGAAAATTCACTCAGACATGACCGGAATAGAGAAGCTTCTGTTGCCAGGCTCCTGGAATAGTATCTCCTAGCAACAGCAGCAGCTGCTTTGTGGCGCTGCGAGGAGTGTGTGGAACCTGTGCAGTCCTGGGGAGGGCACAAAGGACTCAGGCTATTACCTAAGGCACATAACTGGACTGTGACGTAGGGAGGGAGAGATCCACAGACGGCGGCTACGCCTGGTTCCTATTGAACGTCTGCGCTGCAGCATTTAGAGTTAATGAAAAACGTCCTGGGTGACAGGTACACAAGCTACTTTTTATCAGACTGAGATTACGAGACTGGCGCCTTGATTCAATTGTGTGTCTGCAGCAGTCTGACCTTCAGAGTCACTGCAGCTGCACCACTTCTACAGCAAAGACCCAGCTCTGTGATGGGATGTACAGTTCACTATCTCGTTTCCTAAAAGGTTGCCTGGACAAAAATGCTTTCCCTCGATAGACAACACATCAGCGAGACTATCTCACTCTGTCCAGAGGACAGACTGAGGTCAGTGCACTGAGATGTACCGCTGATGTCTGAGCGGAAGCACGTTCAGTAGTGATGCATCCGGACTTCACGATAGTCCGATGCTTCACTGCAGCAGTGGATTCAGGTGTTATTTGATCTGGACGACATCTGAGATTGCTGCAGCACTAAAATACCGTGTTTGTCCTTCTGTGTAAACTCGGCTCATAAAGACTGATGAGCATCATGTGTTCACAGGGCTGACTGGGAAGATTCTTAACTCCATATCTGCAGCTGGATTTGAGATCTCAGCTCTTGGAATGGTAATTATTATTTTTCTGTGTTTGTTTCACATGAAATGAGTAAGGTCTGTAAACTCTAGCGCTTTAACAGCGACTCTTCATGCTTCCCACAGATCGATGCTGTAGAACTAACAAGCTGCTCAGTGTTACTGTGAAAGGGTTAGGGTCCATTAGGTGGAATAAAATCCCTTCATTTCAGTCTGTTGTAACAAATGTTTAATGGCCTGTATTTATACACCACTTTCTAGGGTACGACACAGCTTTTATTCACACACACACACACACACACACACACACACACACACACACACACACACACACACACACACACACACACACACACACACACACACACACACACACACACATACTTGTTTCTTGCGGAAAATGAGGACTTCTGTCCAGGACATTCATGGTGGGGACACAACTTTGACAGTGAAAAAGAAGCATAATGCTTTATTAGAAATAAAAAATATAATTTTCCAACTTTTTCCATAACTAATCCAATGTTATGCAATAAAAATTTTGAAAAAATGGCAACTTAATGTTTTTCTGGTTTTCACTCTGATGGGGACCCAAGCCACTTGCAGTATTTCCTTTCACCAGCAGGTGGCACAGTTTTACACATTAACATGTATTTCCTACAACAGAACAGGTGGATGGATTCAGGGCATATGTAGGGATCCAATAATCAATTGCAATACCTTTTCAAGGCTTTAAAACAAAATAAACTGTTGCAATGCAATAATACATGAATAAACTATTGATATGAAGCTATTTTATTAAGTTCTTTTGCAATGGCAGAATCAAGAAACAACCTGGAAAGTAGGCTTTTTCATGAGTAACGCTAGATATTTTTTGATACTACTTTAACAATATCTGGTTTTCAGTAATGGTACTTCAACAATAAAAAAAAAATTTAAGCTTAATTTTAAGGAAGTACTTTTTTTTAAATAAACAAAGCAAAACTCAGAAAACCCACAGAAAGCTTGTGCGGCTGTTTTCAGTCAAAGGCTGCAGCCACGGTTTAAAATCTTCAACTTGTGGCCAAGAATCAGTAAATGTATCGATTCCCATTTACAGTAGTACTGCATCGCTTCAATGTATTTCTTCATGAAAGAGCTGGCTATGTTGTGATGAGGAAGGCACGCCTATAGTGATAGTGCTTAAAGTCACATGGAACAGCAACTCGAACAAACAGCTAGCATAAAAGAACTGAAAATGATTAGTTCATGTGCATCTACTTGACAAGCTTATAATAAAAACATGTTACTAACCAAATTTAAGACTTTATAAATTGAATTTAAGACCTTAATGCTCTTAATTTTCCTCAAATCAATTGATCAACTTTTAATACTTTTCAAGACCCTGCGGATACCCTGGGATTAATGGATGAATGAAAGTGAGGGAGATTGGACGGATGGATGGATGCTTTGACAAACTGATGGATGGGTGGACTGAAGGTTGGTTAGACAGCGGAACAGACTGCTTATAATACCGGAGATTTTTAATGCTGTCAAATAAAATCCGATAGAGCTTTTTTTAGGCAGATATCAGAGAAATATCCGATGTCAATATTGGATCGGGACATCCCTAAATATAACAGTTTCGGATGATGGCCGCTGATCACAGTAACAGAATTCAGCATGATGTACATTATGTGCAGAATTGAGGCAAGACACGTAAAAAACTAATAGTAAACAATTTGGAATAGTATTTTAAAACAGAGACCTGGGCTTTTACTTCTAGATAAACTGCTCCCAATATCATATAAGCAGAATGCTGTGACTGAATGCAGGATTCTTGCAGTTTTAAGCAAGTTAGATTTAGGACCTTTTAAAGACCATTTTAGACTGCTGTGAACAAAATTTAATATCAACATGACATTAATAGAAAGTTAAATGATTCCAATGTTTGATGCTGCTGATGTCACAACTACTGTTATATGAGATGTTTTGTAATCATATGGAAATTCCAAAGCACCTCTGATTTTGATAGGTTACTGGATAAAAATGTAGCCAAATGGAGCTCACTACATGCTGCGGTTATGCACTGGAGACCAGAGGGACCGGATACCGAGGAAGACAAAGAAGTGTGGGGTGGTGACCAAAACTGGATTATAGCTTGAACCCGCTAAATGCTTTTTGTGGCCAACTGTGTTTCTCTACCATATAGCCCTTTCCCACTAAGCTCAGCTCGGCCCCAAATTGTGCAGATCCAGCCCTGTACAGAGCTTTTAAACTATCCTTCTGCCGAGCAGAGCAGACCGTGTTTTCAGATCGAGGGAAGCGTGGAGTCAGTTGGACCAAGGTGGTCCACCATGTCACCTATGGACTGACACCAACGCTAACAGAAGTAGGAAACCAGTTAACCCAAAACCGCATTAATCCATAACACCAGTGATTGTCCAAACCAACTGTGAAACCAATGTGGTTCAAAACACACTTCCCGGTGTTTTAACAACGAGCCACCTACTGGACTCAGCACTTTCTAATTTGCTGGCTGTACACAAACTACAAATGCCACATACTGACAATTCAAATCCTGCACTTGTGAATAACCTGTAAATATTGCAACATCAGCCCAAACACTACGGCAGCCCTACGTTGATAACACGCAGGGCTGCTAGATCATGGCAAAAATGTTAATCATGATTATTTTGATTGAAACTGAGATCTTGACTATTTAACACAATTTTTAATTAATGCTGATGATGACCTAAATTTATTGAACATTAATAGTGGCCTTTAAACTCCATTTAATGATTTTTGCCTTTATAAAAGAGAATCTTCTCTCTTATGAGTTAAATAAAGTTGTGCTTTGTCTTGGAAAAAATAAAGGGCAAATATTGATAAATAGTGATACTGATAAACAGCAACAGAAAGATAAAAGTACATCCATTTGCAATGAGATAGCATATACTACTGTTTGACCCAAAGGGTTGTTCATTATGTTTAAGTATGGGGAGCCTAAGCCCCACCCTTCTACTTCCAGTCATTTGTTCCCATGGACAAAAAAATAATGGATGAGAGTCAATGGAACAATACGTTATTTTCTGATTCTGTTGGAAATGTCCCCTGGATGTAATATTTGATGTTCATGGAATTTAAAGACAAGTTTTGACACATTTGACAGAATATGTATATATCTTTCCACCTAAGCACGGGTAGCATCAGTCATACAGAGGCAACTTCAAGCTGCAAGATCCATTTTCAGTTTCACTTTATGACAACAGCTACCTGCTGCAGCAGCAGGGCTGGAGCAGACGGCAGCCCCGCTGCTCCATGGAAAGAGCCGACTGACCATACAGAACGAATGAAGCTAACCGCTGTAAATCTGTGCTTCACAGCGATCTCTGAGTCTCAGATAATCGCTAACACAGGTGGCTAGAGTTGTCTCTAGGTACTTGAAACATGTGAACAAAAAAAAAAAAAAAAGAAAAATCACTAATTTTGCTTCTAATAATTGTTCCCAACCAATACTGTAATCTCTATTTAAAATCAATTAATCACCCACCCCTACCTCGAAGGAAGACAGAAAGCGTTTCAGCAGTGTGTTTTCTACGGCCAACGCTTCCCGGCTACCTGGATGTTTTTAAGGCCTTAAATCTAGAGAAATTTATTTTAAACTTAAGACCCCACAGGAACTCTGTGAATGGATGCCCAAATAAAAAGAGTTAAGTATGTAAAGAGTAGGGCTGGGCGATATGACGATTTTAGACCGTTTTACGATCTACACATCTGACGGTCTGTCATTTTTGAGAGACCGTTTTTATCGCGATTCACAGCTCTGCTGTTGAATTTCTGCCTCTGAATGAAAAGGAACTTACCTCAGGCGAATGACACGCCTTTGTTTGACCCTTAACCAATTAGAGTGAGTCATAGTAATATATTAGTGCCCCGCTTGTTTTCATTTGTGTGTGAACAAACATGGCTTCGCCGCGGCTGCGCGACACGTTCCGAAGAGGAACGCAGGGTTTCCTTAGCGCGCGGCTCTAACAACTTAGGGGCGTGACATGTCTCGGAGAAAGCGTAAAAACACGTTGGACGCTTCTTCTGAAGCAGGAAAATAACACTTCTTCTTAAGCAGAGCACGACGTCGCCTCGGCTCGTTCACCCTCTGCCGAGCCGGTGTCGGTACCGGACTGAGCTCGGTCACTGGGTCGCTGGAGCTGCCCCGTGACTGCCTGATGGAAAACCAGCGGGTTTCATCAGACTCGTAGTTTCTTGTTTTTGTTGGGGACCCCCTATAATTTACCGCTCCCTCCTGCAGTCTTCCCCTATTACAATTTAAAATGATTCTGTAAATTCCGTGTATCAATAGAAACAATCTCTGCCTCTGCCAGCTGCAATAAATGTAGTTTCCAAATAATAAGAGGTGCATTCATCTGTGTATCTCCTTTGATCCGCATTAGTGATATTTTCAGCACCAGAACAGTGAAGCAAAGAAAGATTCCTGAGTTTGTTAGTAATTTTATTTATTAGGTGCATCTAACCTGTTCTATTTTTCTCTGAAATGAGATCAAATCAGTGCTTCTATGGGTTGTCTCCAATCTTCACTGGAAAATTTTACTTTATTTAGAGACTTGTTGCAGAAAATATTCAGAATGCGCAGTTTTTTGCTACCACAAGCAATCTCTGGTCCAGCCGCACATCAGAGCCGTATTTGAGCTTAACTATCCACTACATGAGCAACTGGGAGCTACATAGTATTTTTAACAAGTTAATGTTTGCACAATACTTTTGCAATTGACATGTTTGCACTTTAAATATGTTTACAATTTTAATTTATGTTAAGTTACTTGAAAAACGAGAAAAACTGATTTTTGTAATTGTTTCTCTCAGGGCTTTTATCATCTCTGGTGTGAGTTTAAAACATAAGTGTGTTAGCACTGTGCTGATTATCCCTAATATGAATAAATGTTTATTTATTCAATGTTTCTCTTCTTTAATACGCAATTGAAGTTATGCTATTCATGGATAAAAAATCGTGATAAAATCGAAATCGTGATAAAATATTGGAAAAATCGTGATATTCTATTGTTGCCATATCGCCCAGCCCTAGTAAAGAGTGATGGATGGGGTGATGATTACAGGAAAAAACTTGTTTAATGTGTTCCTGAGTCACAGCAAGTGAAGATCTCATACAATTCAGTAAAAGTTTGACATAGGCCTGGACAATAAAACAATAATGATATGTTTAGCAATATAACCTATTTTCAATAGTAAAATGAGACTATCGCAATATAGTTCTTCCCTCCTTTTTTCATAGCCAACTGAATTAAACTATTTAAAAAAACTATACAAGGACAGATTGGGATAATTTGCTTTTAGTTCTTAGCTTATTCATTTGATATTGACGAAAGGTTTGTCAATTTTATGTCTATTCTCCTGTAAAACTTACTGTACACTGAGATTTATTTTTAGAATTGATATTTTGTTTCTAAGTGGAGTTGACCAAGCAGTTAAGTCATTTTTGTGTTCTCTTTGTAAACTAGAACGCTTTAGTCCTGACTTTAGTTTTTAATATGAACCTTTTTTATTTTAGTCATCTGAAACAGATCTGTTATGTTCCCTCAGTACGACTGTTTTGCTGAACCTTTGACAGGAAACTAAATATTTAAATCAAAACAAACTTCTGATGATTTCACATATTACTTAAAAGCAACGGCACATTTAAATTTTACATAAAGAGTAGTTTGACTTATATCGTGATATATATATATCACCTGAAAGGAAAAAAGATGTATCGTGATATGACAAGTCTTATATCTCCCAGCTCTAGTTTGACAAAAGACAAATCTTGAGTTAAAAGGATAGGGGCTGGACTTTTCAGTTCTTAAGAAGTCTCTTGGAAGAAAGACGGAACATTTTCAAGACAAGAAGTCCAGTTACTTTCTTTTCAATTCATAATTATGTCCTTAATGATTGAGAATAGGGTTGTCACGGTAACCGGTGTAGCGGTAAACACTGGTAAAAAAAGTTGACAATAATAATGATCGTCTTGTTTTTAAAAAAATGTATTATCTCGGTGGATTACCATGGCTGCGGTGTAGGTGCGGTGACCCTTACCAGCCACCGTATTGTCTGCTGAAGTTGCCGGTGGCACATGCGCACTTTGTTATTTACAACCAAAACTTTCTTGAAGCTAAATCTGAAATAATGGCCAAAGGAGGAGACGGCAGCGCTCAGGACATTTATTATCCCTCAAAGAAGACAAAGTGGGAAGTATGGGCATTTTTTGGATATTTGAAGAATGTCGAGGGACAGTTGATAGAAGACGGCTATCCTGTTTGCAGCACGTGCAGGAAAAAGTGTCTGTGAAAGGCAGCAACGCTTCAAATCTCATGACACATCTGCGTGACCATCACCCACCACTCTACAATCAATGCAAGGCAAGTTAACGTTGTAGCTAAAATGTGTGATCCGAGGATTTGGGTTGAGGGAGAATGCAACGAGTCACCATATAAAGCAGCCGCAGTGCACACGATCTACATTTAAACCATGTCGCGGACACCCCCATATTGAAATTACACTATGCCTTACGGGGTTCCCAGGGGCAGATAAGAGTTGGTCTCTTTCCAAGAATAATTATGAATTTAACAATTCAAGAGACTCATTCCCCCTAGCTCTCCAGCTTGTCACTCAGTGGTTTTGCTACAGGCTCTGATCCTGCTACCACACCATGCTCTGCTCCAGCTACAGGCTCTGCTCCTGCTACCAGAATAGGCTCTGCTCCTGCTACCACACCAGGCTCTGCTCCAGCAACAGGCTCTGCTCCTGCTACCAGTTCAGGCCCGGCTACAGGCTCTGCTCCTGCTACCAGAACAGGCTCTGCTCCTGCTACTACACCAGACTCTGCTCCAGCAACAGGCTCTGCTCCTGCTACCAAACCAGGCTCTGCTCCAGCAACAGGCTTTGCTCCTGCTACCAGACCAGGCCCGGCTACAAGCTCAGCTCCTGCTACCAGACTAGGCCCTGCTCCAACCACCAGGCCAGGCCCGGCCTCCGGGCTGTGCACCGATCTATGGGAGTTTACCTCTGGTGCATCTTGGTAAAGCATCAGGATAATAACTAAAGGGTGTGCTCCATAAAGAATTTAATAGCTCTTAAGCCTAACCCTAACCCTCATCTCATGTCTCATTCACACTAAGATCCATCCATTCACTTAGAATTTAGAGTTAATCTTGTTTAAAATTGTTTAGAAATAAATCTTAAATTTTAAAGGTGACTCGCTCTTCTGTTGTCTCTCAGTTAATACGAAGTGTTACATAGTCCCTGCAATAAAAAGTTCCAATCTTCTGGTTAAAAGTACCCAAAGATCCATAAGATTGATTTCATATTTACTATGGAATCTTACGTCTTATTAGGGCTGGGCGATATGACGGTTTTAGACCGTTTTACGATCTACACATCTGACGGTCTGTCATTTTTGAGAGACCTTTTTATCACGATTCACAGCTCTGCTGTTGAATTTCTGCCTCTGAATGAAAATGGAACTTACCTCAGGCGAATGACACGCCTTTGTTTGACCCTTAACCAATCAGAGTGAGTCATAGTAATATATTAGTGCCCCGCTTGTTTTCACCTGTGTGTGAACAAACATGGCTTCGGCCGCGGCTGAGCGACAACGAGGTTTTCGTTCCGAAGAGGAACGCAGGGTTTCCTTAGCGCACGGCGCTAACAACTTAGCGATGTGATATGTCTCGGAGAAAGCGTAAAAACATGTTGGACGCTTCTTCTGAAGCAGGAAAATAACACTTCTTCTTAAGCAGAGCACGACATCGCCTCGGCTCGTTCACCCTCTGCCGAGCCGGACTGAGCTCGCCTTGGCCACTGGGTCGTTGGAGCTGCCCCGTGACTGCCTGATGGAAAACCAGCGGGTTTTATCAGACTCGTAGTTTCTTGTTTTTGCTGGGGACCCCCTGTATTTTACCGCTCCCTCCTGCAGTCTTCCCCTATTACAATTTAAAATGATTCTGTAAATTCCGTGTATCAATAGAAACAATCTCTGCCTCTGCCAGCTGCAGTAAATGTAGTTTCCAAATAATAAGAGGTGCATTCATCTGTATATCTCCTTTGATCCGCATTAGTGATATTTTCAGCACCAGAACAGTGAAGCAAAGAAACATTCCTGAGTTTGTTAGTAATTTTATTTATTAGGTGCATCTAACCTGTTCTATTTTTCTCTGAAATGAGATCAAATCAGTGCTTCTATGGGTTGTCTCCAATCTGCACTGGAAAATTTTACTTTACTTAGACTTGTTGCAGAAAATATTCAGAATGCGCAGTTTTTTGCTACCACAAGCGATCTCTGGTCCAGCCGCACATCAGAGCCGTATTTGAGCTGAACTATCCACTACATGAGCAACTGGGAGCTACATAGTATTTTTAACGAGTTAATGTTTGCACAATACGTTTGCAATTGACATGTTTGCACTTTAAATATGTTTACGATTTTAATTTATGTTAAGTTACTTGAAAAACGAGAAAAACTGATTTTTGTAATTGTTTCTCTCAGGGCTTTTATCATCTCTGGTGTGAGTTTAAAATATAAGCGTGTTAGCACTGTGCTGATTATCCCTAATATGAATAAATGTTTATTTATTCAATGTTTCTCTTCTTTAATATGCAATTGAAGTTATGCTATCCATGGATAAAAAATCGTGATAAAATCGAAATCGTGATAAAATATTGGAAAAATCATGATATTCTATTTTTGCCATATCGCCCAGCCCTACGTCTTATGGTTCATTAAATAAATGTAAATTAACCCTTTACAATATACTAGTTAGCTGTATATACAGAGCCCTAGGATCGGATATGGATTGGTTTAAAACCTGTATAGAGAAAATGTACACAAAAATTGGCCAAAAGGATATTTTCATCTGTGGGGACTTTAACATTGATCTCATGAAGTCAAAACTGCATAAACATACTGAAGATTTCTTAGACATGATGTATAGCTTATCCCTGTTCCAGAAGATCACACGACCAACAAGAATTACGGCACAATGTGCAACCTTGATGGACAATATTTTTACAATTTGTGTTGAAAAAAATATTGAAGGTGGCATACTAATAAATTATATTAGTGACCACTGACCTATATATGTATATTTTGACATCAGCAATGGAATTAAAGAAAGTAGGTGTCAAAGAAAATCAGGGAAATAGATATATAAGAGATTACTAACAGACGATTTAATTGCTACATTTAAAGGGGAATTGATGTCCCAAGACTGGGATGTAGTCTATAGGGAAGATGACGTTGATATGGCATATAGTACATTTATTGACATATTTAAGACACTTTACAATAAGAATTGTCCAGTCAAGGTCATTAATGGAAGTCATAAGTATAAAAATCTCCCATGGCTAACTAAAGAATTCCAAAATGCTTGTAAAAAGAAAAACAAGTCTTTATAGGAATTTTATTAAACTATGAACTAAGGAAGCTGAAATCAGATATAAAGTTTACAAAAGTAAATTAACTGAAATAATAAGAACTAGTATAAAGATATATTACAGAAAAATCCTAAATGAAAATAAGAATAACTTAAAAGGTGTCTGAGATATACCGTACTAAACAAATTAAGTAATGGTGGGAAAAAGAAAATGGTATACCCTGAATACTTTACTGATAATCAAAGTGATATTTATGATAAAATAAAAGTAGTTAATAGAATGAATGAATATTTTGTGAATGTAGGCCCAGAGCTAGCAGCAAATATACCAAGCCAAAAAAGACAGACAATAAGTGAACCACTGATAAAAAAATTAAAAAAAAAAACTACCCTGACTCAATCTTCCTCTCAGCAGTGGATGAGTTGGAAGTTAAATCAGTTGTTGATAAATGTAACAACAAAGTCTCCACTGATTGAGACGGTATTGATATGGTGTTGTTTAAAAGAGTTATTGATGTTATTCTAAAACATTAACTTTTATATTTAACTTATCCTCCCTACTGGTTTATTTCCTCAGAAAATGAAAGTAGCTAAAGTAATACCAATTTTTAAGCAAGGGAATAAACATCTATTTAACAACTACAGGTCAGTATCACTTCTTCCTCAATTTTCAAAAATCCTGGAAAAACTATTTAATATCAGACTAGAAAATGTTTTAAATAAACACGAAATACTAGAGCATGGTCAGTACGGATTCAGAGAAAAGAGGACAACAGCACTTGCAATAATGGAAGCAACCGATGGAATAATTAATACGTTAGATAAAGGTAAATATGCTATTGGAGAATCTGATTAGAAGGCTACTTGAGTACTGAGTATCATCTGATCTAATATTTTTAAAATGATGACATCCAACAGACAAAAAATAAAAAGTTATGGGCAACTATTGGTATTTTAAAGACTAAAGGGGAAAAATGTAAACAAATAAACAACATAATTACAAAATAACAAATTTTAGGCAACATATAGACACAAACTGAGGACAATATTTTCCTGATATACAGGGTTTATTTAGTTGTCTGAAAATGTAACATGTTTAAAAAAATACTGCGATAATACCGAAAACCGTGATAATTTTGGTCACAATAACCGTGAGGTTCAATTTTCACACCGTGACAACCCTAATTGAGATTATACATTAACATTTGAAGACAAACTTACAATTACACTTTGGGTTCTTGTGAGCATAGGAACGCTGTCATCTTGGATCACATCAGGTGGAGTTTCATTAAGGGTGATGGTATCTTCACTTTCAGATGATGACCCTAATTTTGTGAAGAAAAAAGAAGAATGATGTGAAGTGGTTAGCAATAACTTTTGGAATGTCTATTCCAGTGGAACTCTGTAAATCAAAACAAACCAAACATTTTTGACTAACAAAATATAGTAGGCATCCCATTCAAGGCTAACTTACTAAAGTTACATTTATTAAAAATGCATGTAATAACTGAGTTGGGATGGAAACAAATATTAAACCTCAGTACGACAGTAGCAGCAAGGCAAGTATGGTTTGGCGCAGTGCTTAATTTGAGCCGGATCTTGCCAGAACAAGATCCGGGAACTGTCTTATTTTGAAAGGACCGTTTGAGCAACGGTCTGCTAGGATCCAGCAACTCACGCGACCAACTTGTGCTATACACAGGGTTCGAATTACTGGTGAGCTAAAGGGATCTCAGCTCACCCCAAAGGATGGCTCCCCTGGCAGCCCTCTGCTTTCACACCCTGTACGGAAGCCCAAAACGATCCTGGTTCTACTTATATTACATTATTCATGTGGACTCTCCGGGGATTATTTAGAGCTGAGAGGCGCAGAGCTCGTACGCGCTCCAGACAGATGTGTCCTGAGCACGGTCACAGTAACATTCTCAAAGTTTCGCCACCCCAAAAACAAAGTTAACATGTGATCGTTCATGTCTGCTCATATCCTTTAATTATTTCTGTCTTTTATTTGTGTCTGATGCGTTTCGCTGCTGCGGAGCGGAGTGCATCACCAGTTTTGTCCTCTGCTGACGCACCTTACCGGTGCGGCCGGTGCGCACTCTGCTATTTTTGCGGTCCGTAGATCTTTTTAAACTACAGTTAATTTATGAGGTGAAAAACATGAAGACATGTAGCAGTTTTTCATTAGGATTGAGAGGAGATGCAGGAAGATAACAGAGACAGGACAGAAAAATAGTCAAATAAAAACAAGTTCATTTTTGTACCTGGTGGTTGCAACAAACAGACACAATTGCAAATAATCAGAAGTGAGGAACAGAAAATGAAATTATTCTTTCAATGTTTAGAGCAGCAGGAACTCTGAGGCTGCAGGAACACCAGAGAGATTGCGGCTGCTGCGCAAGAAGAGGAGGGCTGAAGCAGGGGAACAGTAATGATTCAAAAACTACTGTTGTTGAAAGAAATGTGTTTTAACTTGAAAATGTGGGCGCAATTTTTAATTGTCAAAAACTCCAGCGAATCAACCGGAACAACCCCCCACCCCCACCCCCACCCCGTGCGTGCTACGACATCTATTTTGCCTTTAGTGAAGTTTGGTGTGACGTCACTTTTTACGTTCTGGGAACGTTTCATTTCCGAATTAAGCACTGGTTTGGTGCCAGGTCAATATGCAAAAAATCTTATCTATTTTACCACCCTCCAGTCCAACTAAAGAGCTACACCAAAACCTTCACTTAGATATTTTTTGTTACAGGCAGAAACAACATTCGAAACCCATCTTAAAACTCTACTCTGCTGGATTGTTATTTTAAATTGTTTTATTGCGACGTTATCTAGCCGTCAAATAGCACCAACCTTCATGTTCAGTTGATGATGCAACGTTAATGTTCTGTCCTGCTCCTCCTTTGTCTGCATTGCATAAGCCTTCTCAAAACTGCGCTCACATTTGCCATGATGAGCTGTCAGTTTCTTCAAACGCTGAATGTGATGACTGTCTTCCTGGAAAAGAAAAGACAAAGACCTAACTGTTTCACCTTTTAAAAAACAAGCGTTTAAATATTTTACTAAGAGCTTATATTAGAACTTGGTTCCAGGTTCAGTCAACTTAATTCAGTTTATTTCTCCAGTGCTTATTCACAGCAAACGCCATCTCAAGGCACTTTACAGGACAGACATTTCTATATATTTGCTCAGTTCTAAAGTTTTCTATCCCAGACAACTGTTTAATTGCCCAGCAGTTGTGACCCTGACATGCGGATTCAGCCCAAGCAATCCCTCTCACTAAAAAGCATGAAGCAAGAGTGGAGAGGGAAAAACTCCCTTTTAACAGGAAGAAACCTCCACCAGAACCATGCCCCGTACCAGCAGTCATCTGCCGAGACCGTCTGATGGTTGGAGGAGACAGAGCAGAGACACAGAAAGAATAACAGAACTGATGCAGGAGCAAAAGTTCACAAGTTGACAGGGAGAACATTCAACCACTGGAGCACCAGCCCAGTGAAGGCCCTCGTTCATTGAGGCATCCCGCTGAGCAGAGCACCAGATCAGGTTAGCAGTTGTAATAACAGCAAATAATGCAATTAAGGAATTGTAAAAGGGAAGAAAACGAGTCAGTGTCTTCCAACAGCATAGCCTAAAGCAGAAGCTATTAACAGTAATCTGTCTACCTGTAAGCTTTGTCAAAGAAGAAGATTTTCAGCCTACTTTTCAAGACAGACATGTCTGCTTCACGAACCAATCCTGGGAGCTGGTTCCATAGGAGGGGAGCCTGGTAGCTGAAAGATCTGCCACCCATTCTACTTTTAGAAATCCTAGGAACTACCAGTAAACCTGCAGTCTGAGAGCTAAGGGCACTGTTAAATTGAAAATGGCAGAAAGTCATACCATCTCAGCACACTTGAATCACAATTAGGACAGAAGTATAACCCCATATAACCTAGTTGCCTGCTGAGGAGGCAATTTAGCATATAATTCAGGTGTGTTGAAACTGGAACACAAACTTTGCAGAACACCGACCCTCGTGGATTGGAGTTTGACACCCCTGTCTTATCTGAACCATGTTAATAGCAATCCATGTTTAGGCTTAATCCCATGTGACATCCTTACCCCGTTGTGTAAGCCCTTAATACTTAAACTTATGATTGGCAGAAGTGTAATTTCAATCTCATCAGAACCAGCTTGAGGAAGAAAAAAAGACAGATGAGAATAAACACCAGTAGGAGTTTCAGTTAATTGCTAATGTTTATACTGTATGCAAAACACTTATTCTAATTATTTATTTAGGAATGGAGTCATAAAGAATTGATAGCAAATATTATGTAAAACTGAGAAAGCTTTGAGATCCTCAAGGAGTAGTTAAAGGGCTATACAAATGCTGGCCATCTACCATTTTCAAATAAATTTCGAGAGACAGCAGGCTCAAATCGTGTCTGTGGCAGCCAGTCACGGGACAGCCACGAGATTTCTGGAAGCCAGCCGCGGACAGCCACGAGCTTCCCAACCACCAGTTGCTGCAGCCACGAGATTTCAGCAGTCAGCCACGAGATTTCCGGCAGCCAGTCGCGGCAGCCACGAGATTTCCAGCAGCCAGCCGCGGCAGCCACGAGGTTTCCAATTCCAACGAGACCTAAAGCCTAATTCAAGCTTCCCCGTCTGCATCAGTGCGGAGACACGCAACACCATTATCCGTCCTTGCGCAGGGCCCCTGGCAGGCACGCAAGTATGTACGGAGTTGAGCCCACTATTATAAACATCCATCCGTCAAGACGGAGAGCGCAAGCTTGTGATTGGTCAGGGCACTGCTGTCGCTCACTACTACATAAATCAAAATGGAGTATTTGTCTCTGCTGCTGAATTATTTCAAAGAATCTAATCTGATTACTTATTTTGTTACCATTCCTTATGGCAATGTAAAAAAATCAGAAATATTGGAAAACTTTCAATTCTCAAATTTCATTTTATCTTAATAGCAGATGTGGGTTTTTATTTTTTATTTTGGTTTATATTTTTTTCTTATGTATTTCAGTTTTAATTTGTTAATTTCACTCCAATTATTTTATTAGTTTTTGAATGTTCTTTATAGATTATAACTTTTGTGAATTTGCTTGTACAACTTTTGTTTGTTCAATAAAGTTCTTTTAAAAAATCATGGCAATGTTATTATATCATGATACAGACAAATTATAATCACGCCAACTGTAAAGTTATTTTACTGCAAAGCTTTTCACCTGCAGTGAAAACCCAGAAATCATATGTAAAACACTGAAACCTAGAGGTTACAACAACAGCTCTGAATTATACTATTTTCACTGGCACTGCACTGATTGATTTTTTTGTCTCTCTTATGTGGTTATGTTGCCTAAACGTCTGACTTTAAATTCAATATCAGTCTTTCGGATTTAATTACGTTTAAAAAAACTAGGCTGCCACGGGACTTAAAGTAGCAACTCTGGGAAAAAATATATAAATCAACCCATTGCAAGTGGCAATTGTTGCTAAAAAAATTCTCGCTTCGTTGCAATTCTCGTGGCTCTCCATGGCTGGCTGCTGGAAATCTCGTGGCTGTTGCTGGAAATCCCGTGGCTGCTGCGACTGGCTGCTGAAAACCCCGTGGTTATTGCTGGAAAACTTGTGGCTGTATGTGGCTGTTACCGGAAATATCATGGCTGCCGTGGCTGACAGCCAAAAATTTAGTGGCTATTGCTGGAAAACTTGTGGCCGTCCGTGGCTGTTACCGGAAATATCATGGCTGCTGCGACTGGCTGCCGGAAATCCCGTGCCTGTTGCTGGAAAACCCGTGGCTGGCCATGGCCGTTGCTGTTGCTGAAAATCCCGTGGCTGTCTGCTGGAAATCTCGTGGCTGCTGTGACTGTACGTGACAGGCTGCCACCACCATGATTTGAGCTCAGCCCTGCTGTAATTTTCTCAAAAATTCAAGGCATTTGTAGGGAAAGTCAGCATAAACCTGCTTATAGCTTAAGTAACCTACACAACACAGTACTTTATTTTTACTGACCTGTTACTTAAATATTCAAGCAAAATTCATTGCCCCACAAATTTGGATAAATTGCTTTGATTGGTTATCTTGACTAATTTGTGGGTCAGCAGTTATTTAAATTGGATGTTGCACTTACAAGTGAGGAGTAGGTTGGGAGGCCATCCGGGGTTCAATATTTTGCTTGGAGAAACTTCAGTATCTGACCTGGGAGACACAGACTCATCCAAGTAGGCACGCTGCACTTCATGAGCCGCAGCTCTCCCTGTTATACATTTAGTGTTAGTGTTAAGACAATTCTAACTTAATTTCCATTTGGATGCATGCTTTTCCTTTCATACCTTCACATTTAGATTCGTCATCAGATCCGGAACTCTGCTCATTCTCCTGTCAGTTACACAAAATATCAATCAGTAATCGGTTATAATGTAAAAAAGAATTCAAATAATTGTTTTTATGGCTTCATTTCCAGTGTTGCAGTTCTAAATAAAGTTTTGAAAAAAATTTTTTTTACTCAAACGCAGATCAAAATTTAATCATAGCCTACTCCTGAGTTGAGCTTGGAGCACACAAGATATGTACATATGTAGATGTTTCACAAGTGATTAACACCAAAGTATTGAAATTTAAATTAACACATAACATATTATGAAATAAACAAAAAAAATTGTGTGACAATACAATTGTGAAAAACTTAAATAATGTAAAAAATAATTCCAATTAGTTTGAAATGTTTTACATTAAACTTTTATCTATTTCATGTTTTAGTTATTCAAAATTGAACACTTCAGTGTTCCACACAAAAGAAGTTCAGTTTGCTGCATATTATGTTGCATTACCACTGCATGCTTCATCTGGGGCAAAGCACCGCAGAGACGCAGCGTCACTTTAACCTCACAGACTTTACATAGAATCTGGTTGCTCCTGCCACTTTGGGCAGTGTGAATGCAGCATTTAGGAAATTAAGCAAAAACAGTATTTTTTAAACATGGAATAATTTTTATGAAGTTCAACATTTTAGATAATAAACAACATCAGATATACTAAGTAATTAAATTAAAAACTTTAGTAAGACAACACAGCCAGTTACCCACACAAATAACACAGCCAGTTACCCACAATACAAATATTCTTACTACGAGTTGTTTTAAGGCAACATATGATTAACTAGCAGCTTAATATAAGTAAAACTTACCATTTTACTTGGTTCTCCGCCGCATGTCTACTCTTCGTGAGGCACAGCGTGGGTCTGCCACTGCTACCGCTCTGCAGTTGTTCATGTTGAAAGGGAGCGCTCGATCTAAACTCGAGCGCACACCAGCGTGGCAGTCTCACTTAAATTCTTTTTCACATACCTTTTTGATTGTGCAGGAAGAAACCTAATCATTATTGTAGGTGAAACTAATTAGGGAGACTACTGTTGACAGACAGATGTTCCTGTAATGGTTTTATAGCTTTATGTGTTCATGGAAGCCTGGCCAATACTGAAGGGGTGGATAAATTCAACGCCTCCGTTTCAATAGCCAGCAGTTAGCTAACAGCATGCTTTCACATGTGCAAGCAGAGTGGGGGATGGGCATGGTTATAGTGGGGACCTAAAATGTCCGGATCTGTGTTAAATGTATGAGCTTTGCAACCCAAAGCACCTCCAAATTTAATATTTCATAGCCATGACATTTGTTTAAATAGTTTTTTTTTTATTAAAAATGTTTTTTTTTGAAATTATTACCTTAAATGAAATTAGAAAACTAAAAACATAAATATTTTGTAGATGCATTTATTATGACATTTATGATTCAAAGTATGAATTGAAATTCTTACATTGTCCCACAACACCCCAACATGCCTTAAATAAAAAGAAACTAATATACAAAAAAATAATAAAATAAAGATTTTTTTTCCTCCCTTTCTCTTAGTTTTGTCTGATCATTAAATGTATTTACAATGTGTGTGGTTTCGCTGTGTACTATAGAAACCTTAACCAGTATAGCAGTCTATTGTAAAAATGCAGCAACTCATTGCGTACTGTGCAAAATTATAATGACCAATAATAACTTCAGAGTAAATCATGTATTAGTCAAATCACTACCAGCATGATACTATAAAAATTCACAATACTATATTAAAAGTTATAATGAAGGCCTACTTTTAGGAAATGACAGCAACCTGCTATTGTAAAATTTCACTGTATCATAATGTGGATGTTCAGAGTATTACCTGTAATGTAGGCCTACTAGAACTGTGCAGTGATATAACTGACATATACATATCATGTTTGGTGTATTTTCAGTATTAGAACTACAGGGAAAGTTGACTGGATTTTTTGGCTTTTGGGTAAAGATGGATGGGGCCCCCATAACGTTACAGATAGCTGAAGAGCTTAGATGAAGCATAAAGGGTGGTTTCCACCACCGCCATCTTAGCTACTAAAGATGGTGGAGGTGAGAGTGAGAATGTTGAGTGGGTGAGCGGACAGTTGACAACCATAGCAGTGAGCCGGTGGAACTAAACTGAGCTAACCCGGTGCTAACCTTGACCTAACAAGATTTGGCAGGCAATTTTAAGCAGAGAACCGCAACTCTGCTTCCTAAGCATAAACAAAAGAATATTAAATCAGCTTAATCATATTCATTATCTAGAGCATCTTTCCTTCGCAGGGTGGCAGTGTCAGCTGCTGGTTATCTCCAGCCAAGAAACGACCACAGTATTACTGTGACTGCGAGGCTTGGGCCTTGTGGAGCAGCAGGCGAGCCTCAGCCATCTACGGGGTAGCTGTTAGCCACGATAGCAACCAGCACTAGTGCTGACGTCTAAGCCACAACCCTAATTATTCATAATATCAAGATTAAATTACATCTAAATGGATGAGTTATAAAACAAATCACCTGACTCAGATTGGTCATGAAGGTAAACTGAATATGATTTTTTTAACAAGGCAGTAAAGATCTTTCTCCTGTGAAGTTAGCATGATTAACAATGGGAGTTTGTTCCTTTCTGCAGCCAGCCACCAGCCAATATGGGGAACTGCAATTGTTGTCACTTCAACGGTAGGAACAGTCTTCAGAATCAGAGGTTGGTGCTTGGTACAGACCTGAATTCAGGGACTCGGATGGTCCCCGAAATGGCCCCAAAAACGATCTGGTTGGCTACAGTGGAGATACGCGAGTATGGGACGTTCTGGTCGAATTACCGGGAATTCCGATTGTGGAAACACACCTATTGTGTACATGACAGCAAGGGTCAGCAACGGCTCCTTTGTTAGCCCAACATTAAAGGAGGCATTGTTAAATATGTTTTTCTAAATAACGCTTAAACACTTGGAGCTAATAACTCAAGGTTTGAGTATGTTGTCAGGGAGGTTAGAGCCATCCCCTGTGCTAAGTTTAACCTAAGTGGGGTCAAAGGTTGCTGTATAGAGGCCAACATTTCACTTTTTTGTTCCAAATTACAAAATGGAGGGAAAATGATTAACTCTCAAACGCTTTGACCTAGGAATCTCAAAATAAATTCTGATCATCATGGGGGTTGAGCCATTCACTGTGCAAAATGTCAGAGTCGCAGCACCTTAGGAAGTGTCAAAGGTCATAGGGGTCAACCAACAGAGGAAATGTGGCCTTTAGGCTTGCCTATTTCCAACACACACAGGCATTTTTTTGTATAGTACACCTTCAGCAACATGGCAATTCAAGGTGCTTTACATGATTCTTCATTTATACATTTGACATTGGGAGCTAACACGCAATAAACAAAACAACAGCAACAATGTTACAACACAACAAGAGGG